CCCGACCGCCCACTGTTTCCGCCGCCTCGACGATCTTTTTCGTCGTCGCTTTGGCCCGGCCCCGGACCTCCCTGACTGGCACAGCCTGCTCCGCCAGGGCGTGCCGATCTTTGAGTTAGACATGGATCAGATAGGTGCTGCTTTGCATGCTTTGTATGCTGACGCTTCTAGTGTTGATGGATCTTACTACCATGTGTACTCTAGTTTAGGTGTTTCACCCTTGTGTAGCTTAGCTTCCCCTGCTGCGACAGGCGTAGGACTGCCTAGGTTGCCTAGTCTAGTCGCTGCACCGGCTCCGTCCGCGGCCTCCGCCACTGCGTCGCTGTCCTTCACTCTCGACTCCGGTGCTTCTGCCTGCTTCTTCCGCGACCGTTCCACGCTCACGCCGCTTGCTGCACCTGCTGTTGTCTCTCTCGCTGACCCCTCTGCGGGTCCGGTCGTCGCGCGCAGTTCTACGTCCCTTCCCTGTCCGGCAGTTCCCTCGGGCTCCCTTACTGGCCTCCACGTTCCCTCGTTCTCCAGGAACCTGGTTGGTGTCGGCTGTCTCCAGGACCTCGGCGTCACCACCACGTTCCCCGGGCACGAGCGGTTCGCTGTCTGTTCTGAGGCTGTCTCAGGTTCCCCCCTTGCGACGTTCCCCCGGGACCCGGTGTCCGGTCTGTTTACCCTACACACCGCTTCCCCCCCGGTTGGTGCGTCCTCCCAGGTCGCTGCAGCTTGCTCGTGTCGGTCCCTCACTCACCCCTCCCTTCTCTGGCACCACCGCTTAGGTCACCCTGCTCTCCCGCGTCTGCGTCACATGTCCCAGCACGGTCTTGTCTTAGGTCTCCCCGCGTCGCTCCCTGCCCTTCCTCCCTCGACTGCGCCACCGTGCACGCCTTGCGTCGAGGGTCGGCTCCGCCGTGCTCCTCACTCCTCCTCGCTGCGTCCTGCTACTGCCCCCCTTCAGACCCTGCACTTGGACGTTTGGGGCCCTGCCCCCGTCCCCGGACCGCGCGGTGAGCGCTACTTCCTTGTGCTCGTTGACGACTACACGCGCTACACCACGGTGTTTCCCCTGGAGCGGAAGGCCGACGTGCCCGACGTTCTTCTCCCGTGGGTTGTAGCTGCGCGTCTCCACCGCGGTCTCCCCGTGTTGTGTCTCCACTCCGACCGTGGCGGCGAGTTCGCCTCTGGTCGGCTTGGACAGTTCTGTCGTGCGGAGGGCATCACCCAGTCGTACACGTTGCCGGACTCGCCACAGCAGAATGGGGTTGCTGAGCGCCGCATCGGCTTGGTCATGGAGGTCGCCCGTACCTCCATGATCCATGCCGATGCCCCCCATTTTCTGTGGCCGTTCGCTGTTCGCTACGCGGCTCACCAGCTTAACCTGTGGCCACGCTCCCAGCGGCCGCAGGTTTCGCCGACCCTCCTTTGGACCGGGTCCCCCGGTGACGCGTCTGCGTTCCACGTCTGGGGCTGCCTTGCTCACGTTCGTGCCTCTGGCACGGACAAGCTCACTGCCCGCACTGTCCCCTGTGTCTTCCTTGGTTTCCCCCTGGACTCGTCTGACTGGCTTTTCTACCACCCGCCGTCTCACCGCTTCCTCCACTCTCGTGACGTCACCTTTGACGAGTCCGTCTCCTTCTACCGCCGCTTCCCTCACCGAGGTCTCCCAGTTGCCCCCCCCCTTTTCCTTGCTCCCTCTCCCCCGGTAGCCCCTGCCCCTCTCCCGCCTCGTCCTGCCCCGTCTGGTGTCTCCCACGTCACTCCCCTCCCGTCGGTTGTCCCCGTTGAGGAGTCTGCTGACTCTGGTGGTACCCCCGGTCCGTCCTTGCCGCGTCCCCCTTCCCCAGTGCCTCCGCCCCCACTGTCGCAGTCGCCGACCCCGCTGCCGCCGCCGTCGCCGTCGCCGCCGCAGCCGTCGCCGCTGTCGCCGCCACTGCCGCCGTTGCTCTCGGCCCCTGGGGGTGCTGGTGTGGAGGAGGGTGTTCGTCCTGCGGCTTCTGGGGGTGCCGCTGGTGTTGGAGGGGGTTCTCGCTCTTGGGGTGTTGGTTCTGGGGGTGCTGCTGTTGAGTGTTCTGCCGACGGTCGTTCTGCCTCTGCTGGTCCCAGAGTTCCGGCCCAGCCGTCGTCGCCGCCACAGCAGCCGTCGCCGCCGGTTTCCGCTCTCCGCCTGCTCGGCCTTCCCTCCCCGGACCGCGCGCCGGTGTCTCCCCCACCGCCTCCTGACCTCCCTGTCTACGGTCCTGTGTTCCCGCCGCCAGACTCGTCTCCGGCCCGTCTTCCTCCTCGTTCCCCTCCTGTGTCTCCTCCGCTGTCCCCTGACCCTACCCCTCCGTCTCACGTTTGGGCTCGCCGTCCCTCCCGTGCTCGTCCCGTCTCTCCTGTCCTGCCCACCCACCCTATGTTGCTCCGTTCCCACTCGTCTCGTCCTCCCCTCCTCCCGTCCCCTCCTCCCTCGTCCCTTGCTGTTGCACCTCCTCCGTTCTCTGACTACCTCCGTGCTGCTCGTCCCCTTGTCCCTCGGGTCCTTGCCTCTCTTGTTACCGACCCTGCTGTTCCTGTCTCGCGCCTTGACGCGCTTGTCGCTGCTGTCGCTGACTTCGCTTCTACCCGCCGCCTTGACTACGCTACCGCTCTGGTCTCTGACCCTGCCCGTCCTCTGTCCGTCGGGGGTGCTCCTGCCCTTGGCAGTGACGTCCTAGAGGACAGGCAGTACGAGCTGGCTTTCCTTTCCGAGGCTGCTCCCCATCTCTGCTCCATGCTGTTAGTCCCTGAGGGTGACCCAGACGCCTTCGACATCCCGACCCCTCGCACCTACGCTGAGGCCACCTCGGGACCTTGGGCCTCTCAGTGGATAGCTGCCATGGAGCAGGAGATGGCATCTTGGAGATCCACCGGCACTTACGTCGACGCAGTTCCCCCGCCTGGGGTGAACGTAGTCGATGGTCGGTGGCTCTTCAAGGTGAAGCGCCCCCCTGGAGAGCCGCCTGTCTTCAAGGCGCGCTACGTGGCCAGAGGTTTCAGTCAGCGCGAGGGAGTTGACTTCTTCCAGACCTTCGCCCCGACCCCGAAGATGACCACTCTTCGGGCGCTGCTACACGTAGCAGCACAGCGTGACTACGAGCTTCACTCTCTCGACTTCTCTACTGCCTTTCTTCAGGGCAGCCTACACGAGCAGGTCTACCTGCGCCGACCACAGGGCTTCACTGGTACCTTCCCTCCTGGGACCCAGTGGCTTCTCAGGCGCCCGGTCTACGGCCTGCGTCAGGCTCCCCGCGAGTGGCACGACACGCTACGTGCCACGTTAGCAGACCTGCAGTTCTTTCCGTCCTCTGCTGACCCTTCACTGTTTGTGCGTTCCGGCCAGACTCCGTTCTACATCCTTGTCTACGTAGACGACCTGGTCTTCGCTACTCCTGACAGGGACGCACTGGCCTCTGTGAAGGCTGAGCTGCTGAAGAGACACACCTGCACTGACCTTGGAGAGCTGCGTCGCTATCTTGGCCTGCAGATCTCTAGGGACAGAGCAGCACGCACCATCACTCTGACCCAGTCACACTTGGTGCGTCAGGTCCTTCAGAGGTTCGGTCTTCAGTTCTCCTCCGCACAGCCCACACCTCTACCCGTAGACCATGGGCTCTCTGCTCCCGTTCCTGAGGAGCCAGTAGAGCCCAGTGGCCCCTACGCAGAGCTGGTGGGTTGCCTCATGTACCTGATGACTTGCACTCGCCCAGATCTCGCATACCCTCTCAGCATCCTGGCTCGCTTTGTGGCTACAGGCAGACACCGACCTCAGCACTGGTCTGCCGCTAAGAGGGTTTTGCGTTATCTTGCTAGTACATCAGGCATGGGGTTAGTGCTAGGAGGACGCAGGCCAGTGGTCCTTACTGGGCACACAGACGCTTCTTGGGCAGACGACGCTGAGACGCTCAGGTCGTCGCAGGGCTACTGTTTTAGCCTTGGTTCGGGTGCTATCTCTTGGAGATCCACTCGCTCGTCGTCTGTGGCTCAGTCTAGCTGTGAGGCTGAGATCTACGCTGGTGCCATGGCGGCACAGGAGCTCCGCTGGCTGACCTTCTTGCTCACAGACTTAGGTGAGCGGCCTAGCTCTGCCCCGGTCCTGTACGCTGACAACAGGGCCATGATACTCCTGTGTCAGGAGCCTCGGCTTGAGGGCAGAGCGAAGCATATCCAGCTGCGGTACTTCCTCCTGCGCGAGCTACAGCAGCGCCGCCAGGCCCGCGTAGTTCACTTGGCCTCAGGTGCCAACACAGCTGATATCTTTACTAAGGCGCTTGCGCCTAAAGATCATCAGCGGCACTGTGTACAGCTTGGTCTTGTTCCTATAGCTGCTCCCCTGTTAGGATCCTGATTGTGTACTCTCTATTATATATGCTTGTCAGACTGGCCTTGTGGCCTTACCTCCAGTGGCTGGACTAGTAGTGCCACCCTGGCTTGCTTCAGTTTTGGTTGTATTCTTGCTGACTGGTCTCCAGACCCCTGCCTCAGTGGTTGGACTAGTAGTGCCGCCCTGAGCTGTTTGCTTCTTGTTTAGTTTCACCCCTTGTCTAGCCTAGGGGGTGTGTCAACTTATACATATTATCTATGTAGAAGTTATAGGCTAGACTGAGGTATGCTTCTAGTGAGTACAACCAACTAGTATTTGTTCTAGGTTTCCACCTCTAGTAATCATTCGTTTCTACGTTAACAGTGACTACCAAGCCTAGGGGGTGTATTAAATTATATATTGAATTATATAATTGTTATGCTTGGTAGGTTACCGAACTCTACTGTAGAGGGTACAATCCCCTCCTTGTATGCCTCTCTTTTTCTATTCCAACCCCTTTTCTCTCCTCAACTTTTCTCCTTCGTAAATGTCACGCCACTCCATGGCTCATCCTAGCTAAACCTCATGCCTTTCTTAGCTTCCTAGATAAGCTAGCTTTTAACATTATCCACTGGAGAAAGTAAACATTCAGATTATAAATATCCATTTTTAAATGGAAAAAGATGTGTCCTTGTAGTGAGCGACGCATTAGAGCCGACAACATATGTTGCTCGGGTTACAAGACCAAAAAATAAAGTCGTCCTAAATCGGTCCACCGACCGAACGTAAAAGGTTGCTACGCAACCCAAAAAAAAACATTAATAGCGTGGTAAAACACGGTACTCCACGAGGTTCGGAGCGTGATCCTGCGAACCGGACGCAATGTATATCGTCCTGAGGGCGCGTTCTGGCGTGGGGGCAAGCCCTGAGGCAGGGCTTTTGGGCATCAATTATATGGATGAAGCCCTGCCTCGGGGCTGCCCCGAGCCGAGGACGTGCCCTGAATAGCAGACAAAATTAGGGCGATGGCACTCCAGCTTGGCCTGAATTCAAGTCCGTAAGAGACAGTGACAGGCCCCTGAGCTGCAGTGATCATGGCCAACACTTCGATTTCAAGACTTTTCTAGTTCGCTCAATCCAGTCTGTCATGTACCATATAGTCTCACAATCAGCCCGAAAACTCGGGTCGCAATTCATCTCCCCCTCGGCCGGAAGGGAAGTCGGCAGAGACGGGGAAAGGGGGGACGGCGGAATGATCAGGCGCGCGCATTAGGCTCACGAAGAGCCGTCAGGCGTTGCGCCAAGCCTGCTTGTGCTGCGCTCCTGCGCGGATCGAGTAGTGGAGCCGAAGAACCAACCTGCGCGCGATAGTGCGCGGGAAACGACGACAGTAGTACCGCCACCGCCTCCGCTGCTGGAGAGAGAAAACCTTCTCGCGCGGGGAACGACGGTAGTATCGCTCTTGCCCCCCCAGCCACCCCCGCCGCCGGCGCTGCTGCCACTGGAGCTGCTGCCGGTGCTGCTAGACGCGCTGCTGGAGCGCGAAAACCCCCGCGCATGAGCCACCCCCTTCAACTCCTCCGCCGCCTGCTGCGGCGGCGGTGGCGACGGCGGCTGCTCACGCTGCCTGCTCTTGGCGCTTACCCCGCTCCGTTTGAGCTTGCGCTCACCCCGCGGTTGGTGCGCCTGTGATTCATGCTCCTCCGCCACCGCAGTGTGGGCCTTGCGAAAGGTTCCGCTGCCGAATCTGTACAGTCCGCTGGTTCGCCAAGTGGCATGCTGCTGTTGGCCGTAACGAGTCGTCACGGCGACAGGTTTGTCGTCTTGCTGCACTGAGCCAAGTTTCTCGAGCTGCCCGAACCATGTCTCCGACTCCTGATGCGACATCCACACATCGGCGACGTTCGTTAAAATCCGTTGCCGTGACTCTAGCGAGCTACGGCGAAGCTGCTCCATAAAGAGCCGTTCGCGCTCGCTTATAATCTCCGAACCGCCAGAATGTTCTGGTTCTGATTCGTGCAAGTCGGCGGGATTCGTCCGTTGCTGTTCCGACGGGCCGTCGTGCCCCGCTCCAGGATCTCGCGCCGGTTCCGCCGCTCCACTAGGGAAGGACGCGCTGGTTTCCGCGGGCGCGAAGTCCGCGCATGTTGCCGCTTCCGCCACCCGAGCTGCAACGGAAGCGCTGGGGCTCTCTGCTGCTGCTGCTGCTGCTTCGCTTCGGCAAGTCAAGCTGTGAGGCGCACTCGCCGTGCTGTCGCGGAACGGTGCGCTACTAGACCATGTCGCTTCATAAGACGCGCTCCCTACGCCGCATAAGGCGGGACCGCTGCGGATCATTTCATTGCGATGGACGTCGGAGCTTACGAGCGCCATGCCTGCTTCTGCTGAATGGGAGAAGGATTGATGCCGCTGGAAGTACTGTGTGGAGTCTCTGCAGCTGAGGATCGACTAGCTTTCCTTACAGACTGAGAGCAGAGCATATATACTGTATCAGGAAAGTTCTCCAGGAAAATTTTCTGACCTCTTCGGAAGGAAGATTTGCTGCATGGTCTGTGCTGCTGGGTTAGCTTGGGTGCCTTTTGGGTGCTGTGTACACATGATGCCCGCCGGAGGCCTAGCTCAATACGTGGCCCAATCAGGAACCATCGCCCATTAGCGTTGTCACAAGGGCAACGGCCCACTCAACGTGGGCCGTGAACAGAGCCAGCAGTGCAGCGTCATCATGACAGCGGTGACAGACATGCGGCACAAGACGAAGGATGTGCGCCGCAACCTTTTTCGCCACAAACTTCCAGCCGCGCTCGGAATAGCGCTCCGGCGAAGGTCAGCGAGCCTTTCGTTGAGCTCGCAAAATGACACACGCCTCGCTGGGTTTGTTTGTGGCTTGAGCGTCGCCGCATGAAACCGAACGCTGACTTGGCAGCGAAATGGGGTCGCGATGTCCCGATGCCAGGGGTCGTTCTCAACATCCGACAGCCAACCCAGGAACAGACTCGAAAACAAATTCCCACAATCCACGCAGTAGTTATTGTTGCGACACGAACCTTGAATTCGTAATATGAGAAATATTTAGAACACGCCCGTAATATTTGGAGCTGAAATGCGACTCCAACACCTCACCCCATCACACTGAGTATAAAAGAGAGCAAACCAAACCAGAAAAAATCACTCAACATCTCACCCGCCAACCACCACTCTGGTGCTACACCAGGGAAACTCTCTCAAGCTTGAAAGCGTCGAAACTTAACACAGGGTAACTAAGTGAATAATGGCTCGCCAAAATATGCCACTCATACCTACCCCGCAAAACATCAAAATGGTAACCTTCGTGCCCGTGCGAAAGGCCCACATGCCCGTGACGATGCCGTGCGAAACCCGTGCGCGTTTTTGTCTACCGGCACCCTGAAAAGTTGTGTTCCTCTGTCAGGCTCAAGGTGTACAGGAGAGGGCCCCCTGCTGCTGCTTCTGTTGGTTGCTGGCAGCCCCTGCTCCTGCTTGGTGGTGGCTGCTACGATGCAATGCCCTTCGTAAATGGTAGTCACCCTGTGCTGTTGGGATTTATTGTACACTATAGAAACAAGGACGAAACACCTCTAATGGTTGTGCTTTGGAGGTTACCGTTGTGCTGTAGTTCTCAGGGGTACCAAATAAGGTCGCCAAGCTGCGATGAACAGCGCACGCGCACCGTGCCTAGGGAAAAAAATCAATTGATGTTCCAAGTCTAGATAATTGCCCGTACAGAGCTGAGAGTAAACGGGCAGACCATACAAGATACTCCAGTGCAGGATAGCATGACACAACGAGTCACGCACCCGACGGGCGAGGCAATTCGCTGCATTGCGTTGCACCCCCGCTGCGCAAAACAAACCTTCCGCGCCAACTTTCGTTCGGTTTCATTTCCGAACCGATCGACCGAACCTCACTGCAGTGCCAGGAACAGAAACGTCATACTGTCCTGTAGCCTTCTTGCGAGCCTTTGGGACCACAAACTACGGCTGCCGTGTACGTTTGGAAATTCCAACCTGTCAATGCTGGCGGCGCGTGTAGAACCACATCTTTCGTTTCTGTCCGTTGACAACTGCACTTCCAACCAAGTCGAAAAGAGTGCAGCCCTCTTTGGGACAAAGCACAATTCTCAGGGGATAAGACAACCCAACCATTTCTCATAACCGAGGCAATGGGTCAACCATACACCTCGGTTTTGAGAACTGTGCAAAAGCTACAATCGTTTCTGTGGAACCTCGACAAAAATTGACTAAGAAACTTGAACAGCGGGGCGAGTGGGCTTCAAGTGTCAAGTGAGTGAGCAGTGCGCGTGCTGTAAGCAATAATGACGGTGATGAACAAATCTCCACGCCCAATTACCGTTGGCTTCTGAGTTTCATATGTGGCTCAGATTACTTCAAATTACACAAAATGCGCTGGCGACAAAGACCTTCCCCTGACAGCGCCTGAACGAGCTGTTCGTATCGTATCGGGGATAACGTTCTCGGTCAAGCAGAGTCATGAGTACACCCATCCATGAAGGTTAAACCCGTACGTTGCTAAGGCTACTAACAATCACATATGGTGCAAGTAAAACTGGATATTGACAAAAGGGCGAGGACATGCCCGCATGATGTCGGTCATAGATTGTCATCATTTAGTGCTATGAAACTGGAAAACAGCCTTCCATTAGTGCACCGCAGCTCATTCATCAACCGACTCCAATTGGAGCCAAGAACCCCGATGAAGTAATCACTCTGAGCTGCGATAAGCAAGCTCGCCAAACTCGATGCCACTGATTGGGACTTCTCATAATCATGCTTCTCCATGGACGCTTCTGACTGCCGTTGGTTTGAGCCGTAAAAGAAGGTCCACTCCTTGTAGTTGTTCGTCTCATCAATCACTGACTGTAAAATTCCATGAGCGCAAGGGAAACATAAAGAGGAATTGGAAGGTTTCGAGGCTGTTTAGAAGAAGAAGAAAAGGGGAAAAAAAAAGACGAGGCGGTCGAATGATCAATCACCCAAAAACTAGCACAAGCAAGGAGTTCGATTGAGCACATCGCAACACGCACCTGTGCCTCTGTGCTGAGATCCACCTGCACCAGCCTCAGCTGCAGTGCAAAGAACATGCGCATACACAGGGGCAGCACCTCCATCTCCTCCCCCGCATGCACCATTCACACACACAAACAGTCCCCCACCCACACACTTACCCACCTACCCACCCACCCACCTGTGCCTCTGTGTTGAGCCACATGTGTCTCAGACCCAACTGCACCAGCCTCAGCTACAGTGCAAAGAACATGTGCATACCCAGCAGCAGCACCTCCTGTGTCACATGCAGCTACTCACACACACACACACACACACACACACACACACACACACACACACACACACACACACACACACACACTCACTCACTCACATCCATACCCACCTACCCACCCACCCACCCACCCACCCACCCACCCACCTGTGCCTCTGTGTTGAGCCACACGTGCCTCAGATCCACCTGCACCAGTCGCAGCTGCTGTGCAAAGTACATGTGCACGCCCAGGGGCAGCACCTCCATCTCCTCCCCCACATGCATCTCGCTGTGCCGCACATGCATGCCCAGCAGCGGCCGCACCACATATGGCTCCCCCCCCACCTGCGCATACATGCCCCTCAACCAGAGCGCATACCCCCCCAATGCTGCATCAGCAGCAGCAGCAGTAGCAGAAGCAGCAGCAGTGGCGACGGCGGCGGTGGCGGCGGTAGCAGCAGCAGCACCCAAGCAGCTAGCGTTGCAAGAGTCATACGCCCATGGCACGTTCACATGAGCATCGATATCAGCTGGAGTGAAAGTGCTGAGAGAAAGAGCCCGGGCCATGGGGGATAGGGTGATCTTATGATAAGCCGCATCCCCTGCAGTTGCTGCTGCCACCACTCTCAGCGTCTTGTCGGAAGTTTCCAGGAAGTTGGCGAGGCGCGATGCGGCGCGCATGCCAAAAGCCACATGGCGCTGCTGGTTGCTGACGTGGCAGAGGTGGAGCGAGGGCTCGCGCAGCATGAAGCGCGCTGACTGGGCGCGCCACCAGTGCACGGGGGCGTTGCGGGGGTCAACGGATCTGGGCGATACCACATGCCACACTGTGTCTGGCCTCTGCAAGTGCGGAGTGCCCCACTTGCTGTTGGTTGATGTGGGGGGGTGGGGGGGAGGAGGGAAGGGGGGGAGGGAGGGCGGGAGGCAGGGTGGGTAGGAAGTAACGGGGAGGGCCAGCGGCATGGAATGCACTGTCTGGGTATTTGGGGGAGGGTAAGGGTGTAAACGAATGCTTGGGTATTCGGATGGTATTCAGTATTCGACGAATACCGAATTCGAATCGAATGTTAATTTCGCAATTATTCGCTTATATTCGTGCGTCGAATATTCGTAGCTCGAATACCGGACATTCGTTTCAATATCCGGATGTTGATTATACCTTTTTCCACTGCTCCGCGATGTGCGCTTTGCATGCCGTCACCACCTATCTGAAGACAATGCCGCGATATGAGTCTACATCGCACGCTACGACTCCGGCTCCAAGATTGCGGAGGGATAGGATACGTTATTACGCTTGGGGTGAAGCAGTAGCTAGCAGCCTAGCACACTAGAGACTTGCGATCGAGTTTGACTTACAGATCATTGATGTTGAGAGTATGCAGCAGACACTTGACACATGTGAGTAAATACTTGTCTGGTTTCGACAATTTGGTGAGGGGAGTGAGTAAATACGTCCCACTGGTGAACCCTGATTTATTTATACCAGCATGCCCCTATAAATATACAAACTTTTTGGTCACCACCATACCACTCGAATACATTCGCATTCGGACGGTATTCGGCACCGTTCGAATGGTATTCGTATTCGTGAAGGACCTACCATTCGATCAAATACCAAAACACCAAATATTCGAATTCGAATTTACACCCTTAGGGGAGGGCGCACCACCAGTTCAGGTGTATTTTGGGGAGGGCGCACCACCAGTTCAGGTGTATTTTGGGGAGGTCGCACCACCAGTTCACAGGGGTGTTGCGGGGGTGAAATGACTTGGGCTTTACCACGTGCACCCCCCACTTGGTATTTGTGGGGCGCGCGGGGGAGGGGGAGGGGGGGGAGGGGGGTAATAAACAAGAGCGGACATGGCAGGAGGTAGGGTGGCGGGGGAAGCACAGGGCGATACAGGCAATAAAGAGGTGAAGAGGAAGTTTAACGGAGAGGAGAGCAGAAGCGAGAAGTGGAGAGCAGAGGAGGGTAAGAGAGAGGCGAGTAGAGGAGATGCGATTAGAAGGGCAGAGGGGAGGGGAGGGTAAATTATGGAAAATATATTTGAGGGATGAGAAGGGGAACCCCCCCTCACACTTGACTACGCCATGCTGACGTGGCATTACCCTTCCCCCCAACCCCATCTCACCTGACAATGCTGGCTTCATGGTCCAACTCGTTATAAGGCACGTCCCCAACACACACAATATCCTCGTTAGAAGCTGCCCTCTCCTTGACTCGGTCCCTCGCGCATGCCATCCCTCCTGCCTCCTTGGCAGCCTGAACGCGTTGCTCACACGCCAGTGAGACAATGGGGAGGAAGTAGCACGCCCAGCTGCCCTCCTGGCCTTGCGCTAGGGAGGGGAAGAGTGGGGAGCGGGGGGGGGACGGGGAAGGGAGGTTGAATTGAGGGGGAAGAGTGAAGAGCCCTTTGCCTCCTTAGCAGCCTGAACGCATTGCTGCTCACATGCCGGTCAGACGACAGGGAAAAAGAAGCAAGCCCAGCTGACTTCCTGGCCTTGCGCTGAGAGCAGGGTGGAGCCATAAACGGAATGAAAAGGGGGGGAAGTGGGGGGGGGAGGGATGAAAGAGACAGTGAGGAAGGGAGTACCGGAGGAGAGAAGCAAGAAAGAGGTATGAGAGGGACGGATGGGGGGGTGGGAGGCGGGGGGGGCTGGGTATCTAGCGAGGTGCCTTACTTTTAGAAGCCTCCGCGTCAGAGCCGAGAGGGGGATAGGGAAAGGAGGAAAGGGTACCGTGCTTCTGAATACCCCCGATTTACGTCTCTGCTTTACGTCCGTTTTACCTCGGGTTCGCCTCCGATCCTACCTTTGCAGGCCTCGGAGTCAGCTCGAGAGTAGTTGCCTGGATCTGGCACAAGCACTCGCTTGTGCGCCATGGCTATGCTGAGGAAAGCACTCATGATGTGGATCTGGGAGAGAGAGAGGGGGGAGGGGGGGGGCGGGAGGAGGATGTGGGGCAGGGCAAGAGTGCCCTGAGAGAAGATGGAGGTGCGGTTGTGCGTCAAGGCTGTGCTAAGGAATGCAGTCATGATGTGACTCTGAGTGACTTGGGGGGGGGAAAAGGGGGTTGGGGGGGAGGAAGTTTGTGGTGGGGGGGAGGGAGGTGAGGAGTGAGGGGGAAGGAGAAAGGGAGGCCGTGTGGGGAGGAGGGTGCGGTTTGAGTCATGGATATGCTGAGAAATGTGCGCATGATGTGGATCTCGGGGGGGATGAATCAAGGGAAAGGGACAGAAAAAGGGCGCGAGAGGAAGGGAGAGGGGGAGTGAAATTGTGAATCATGACTATGCTGAGGAATGCGCTCATCATGTGGATGATGAATCTGAGCGGAAGGGGAATGCAGATGTGAGTCGTGCCAGGGCTGAACGGGAGATACAATTGCATTGCAAAGGCTATCAAAAAACAAGCATCGGCGGGGTAAGAGAGGAGTGCAAAGGGAGGGAGCACGGGACGTAGGGTGTCGAGTGGGAGGCCCCTGGCTGGAAGCAGAGGGGAGGAGTTGAAAGGACGTAAATAATCACTCGTGAGCCAGCCCCGTGCTTAAGAGGAAACGCCCACGGCACCACCAGCAGCCTTTGGTCGCTGCAGTCACCCGGCGGCAAAACACATGTCCCACATGTCCCACATGTCCCACATGTCCCTCTGTGCTCCAAAACACACCTGAGACCTAACAGCCACTCCCTAGTTACCGGCGAGCCAACCCCGTGCTTGAGGGGAAACGCCCACGGCACAACCAGCAGCTTTGTTCTGGTCAATGCAGTCACCCAGCAGAAACTGGCGCTCCCATGTGGCCCTCTGCGCGCCAAAACACACCTGAGCCCCAACTGCATCGCCTCCTTACCTGGGACCCAACTGCATCGCCTCCTTACCTGGGACCCAACCCCGTGCTTGAGAGGAAACGGCCACGGCACCACCAGCAGCCTTTGGTCGCTGCAGGCACCCGGCGGCATCTGGTGCTCCAAAACACACCTGAGCCCCAACTGCCTCTCCCTCCTTACCTGGGAGCCAACCCCGTGCTTGAGGGGAAACGCCCACGGCACCACCAGCAACTTCTGGCCGCTGCAGGCACCCGGCGGAAACTGGTGCTCCCACATGTCCCTCTGGGCCTCCCTGGTCGCTGCCAGGTTCTCACTGTCCGTGCCCCGCACCTGGAGGGGAAAGAGGGGGGAAGGGGGAGGGGGGAGGGGGGAAGGGGGAGGGGGGAGGGGGGAGGGGGGAGAGGGGAGAGGGGGTGGGGGGGAAGAGGGGATTTTACTTCACAACGTGGTTCGGAATCTCGTTCGTGCAATCGGGTGTTGGCATTGCAATCAAAGGCCACTCTGCGCTGCCCTCATTGATGCGCTTCTGTGATGCATCACCTCACCGGTATTCTTCTATCACTGCAATCAGTTTCTGTGCCAATCCCACTAGTTTACGTTTGTATATTCACTCTTGTATCAAAGAAAATGGAGTCTGGAGTCCCCACCCGGGGACAGGGGGTTGAGTTGGACGCACTCACCCAAGGCGGGTGTGGCGCACAGTTGCACTTCTCCCCCGGCCGCGCCCACGCTGGTGCCTCCCCCTGCGCGCCCCTCTCCTCCAATCGCAGCCTGCCAGCTGTCCGCTCGGCGCAGTCCTCCAGGTGAGGCGCGGGGGGAACGTTGCGCGGAAGGGAGACGTTAGCTGGGGGGAGGGGGGAGTCGGAGTCAAGACCGTATGCGCGCTGCCATGCCTGGGGGGGAAGAGAGAGGGGTCGGACAGAGGGAACGTTGCGCGGAAGGGAGACGTCAGCAGGGGGGAGGGGGGCGTCGGAGTCAAGACCGTATGCGTGCTGCCATGCCTCGGGGTTTGAGGGGGGGAGGGGGGGGGAAGGGGGGGAGGGGGGGAGAAGGGGAAGAAGGTGGGGAGGGAAAGGGGAGAGGAAATGGGAAGGGAGAGAGGGAGTCAGAGGGACGTTGTGTGGGGGGGGGAAGACGTTAGTGGGGAGGAGAGGAGAGTCGGGGTGATGACCGCAGGCCGCAGGCCTGCTGCCATGCCTGGAACAGGGTGGACGGGGAGAGGGAGAGAGTAATGTAGAGTTTCATTGAGCCATAACATGTCAGTCGCACTCACTCGATTCAACGACACACTGGTCAGTCACACTCACTCGATACAGTGCCATCGTTCGTTCCACGCCGCCTGTCGCATCACCACCCACAATGCGATGCTCGTTGTCGCTGCTGCTGCTGCTACCGTTACTGACAGGAAATGCGGTGCCAGCCAGCGTGATAATAACGAGACACTGGAATCTCCGAACGAGGATTACACTGCAGGCACTACCACTGCATAGTAACCCACCACTACTCCGTATCCTAGAAATGCCATTCGCCTTGAAACCATTGGCCTTAGAGCCATTTGGTGCCCTCGCACTAGCCATGGAGGCAACGGCTATCTGCTTGCGAAATCCGCTAGTGCGCGACGACCGCAAAGCGCGCAACCAGCCGAACCATGAGCCTCTATCGGATTCGAGGGGCTCGGTCCGTAGGCTCAATCGGGAACACAATAATAACCTTCTTGACTTTGATTGGACGGCTGTTCGCCAGAGAGCGTCACTTCGACACCGCACGCCTTAATCAGCGTGACTGATAGGTAGCTATGACGACTATCGCGTCGCCGCTCCTAGGGAATCCTGCCAGATTAGCTGGATAGATAACATGACAATCTTGAGGACTACGCTGTCTAGAGAATAGATGCCATGTGCTTCTCTGGATGGAATGTGTGTAGGGGCATGGGTGTCCATTCTGGAGTTTCATATAGGTGCAAAAATGTAGAGGTGGAAGTGGCTACACTAATAAGCAGGATATACCTTTTCCAACTAGGCTAATTGTACAAGATTAGTCCGTTTTACAATAGAATGAACAATTTTCAGCCATAACAGCTACAATACGAATCAGCAACATCACGATAACGTGTTCCACACACGAGCAGTTCAAGCTCCAAAGACGGAGCGAATTCGACGCATAAGCTCGGCCCTGCGAACATGACATGCCACATGGTTGAACCAATGACATGTAAGCCCAATAACTTATATGCCCTCAAAATACAACAGCAACAGATAGCACTTGGAGAAGGTGCTTCCTCCATATTCAATACGGTGCTTGGGAACGAGGAAAATCTTACCTTAGCCATTGCCGTTCATCGCGTGTGTTCCCCAGCACGCCTCTGTTTTCATGTGCTCGCCTCAGAAGGTATGGCATCACATCCCGCACCGGACCATAGGGAAGGTACTTGGACGCATTGAACCCCGCAAAACCGAGTCCAAGAGAAAGCCCATCCGCCATTCCCTTGAGCTGCGCAAAGTGCAGCCGAGGATCCGTGCGAGCCAATCCTGCGTCGCCAGCTCGCATCACTGCCGCCCGGCCTGATGGGGGATGGTATTTTGGGTGAAGTTTAGGGGAAGGGAGGGCGGGTGTCATGGGGGGGATGCAATGGAGGAAGAGTGCGTGTGATAGTCAAAGGTAGTGGAGAGTGTTTTGGAGAATTCTAAAAAACACCTGGGAATGTAATGGAGGAGGAGTGCGTGTGATAAAAGGAGGATGGGACGAGCGATAAGACAGGAGATGTCAATCAGCGATCAATTTGGTACCTGATCCATGGTTGTGCATGGCCAGCATCACTCCAGCAGCCGGACCACTCTCCGCTGTAGAGTCCTTCTTAGCATCTGCTACAGCAGCATCAATCATCGTTCCAGCACATGGAGGGAGGCGTTCCAGCACATGGAGGGAGGAAGGGGCACACATACATACCTGACCCATAATTGTGAGTTGCCAGCACCACTCCAGCAGCCGGACCGCTCTCCCCCTTAGAGGCCCTCTTAGCAGCATTGCCAGCAGCATCAATCATCATCCCAGCACATGCGTCGTAGCACTTGTGCGTGTTGTCGATGCTCTCATGCACAGGCGACGCCGCTCCATGCTTCTTTGCTTCGGCGGATTCCCGAACCAGATACGCCCCCCGGACCAGCTTCACGCCGAACCCAACCCCAGCCTCCTGCGCTGCCCCGAAGCTAGCAGACAGCCTCGGCTGGGCATCCTGCAGATAACACTGCACCGTGGAATACACCAATGGCAACTCTGCCTCTGTCTTATCCCCCTCCTTCCTGCCTCCAGTTACAGTCACACCCGTCTTGTTATACTCCATCATTAAAGCATACGCCAAGTAATCAATCGCCGGCTCTACAGACTGATACTCAGCGTCTATCAAGAGGGGTAAACCACCCTCAGCGCAGGCATCACAGATCTTCCTTAATCTATCGTGAGCTGATGTGATGGCTGCTGATTCGCTGGGGGTGAGAGGAGAGGGCGTGGAAGAGGGAGTGAAGTAGGTGGGGGACTCGGGAGTGAGGATGGGGAGGGAGGGACGACGCCATGGCATGGGGACAGAGGAGGAGGAGGAGGAGAGCTTGTGGTCCCAGCGCAGTAGAGAGCTGACTCGTTCGAGCACAGGGAGTGGGCAGAGGGCCGTGATCTTGACACAGGCGAAGCTCACCTGGACGGACTCACATTAGGGAGGGAGAAGAGAGTTAGCTCCGATTCTCGTATTGTACAACATGTTAAGGCTAGTGGGATGCACAAGGAGTGGAAAGCACATGGAGTGGTGGAATGCACAAGGGAGTGGGACGGGGCCGTGTTCTTGACACAGGCGAAGCTCGTCTGGATGCAGTGGTTTGGGTTCACATGAGGGAGGGTGAACAGGAGGGAGAAGGGTCCCTCCAAAGGGCATTTTGCACACGATGTGAAGACTAGTGGGATGTAGAAAGTTGGTTGGGAATGGGTAGCAACAGAAAGTTTCGGATTAGAGAGCTCTATCCGAGGCCCGAGGGTACCTTCAGCTCTTCATTTTGTTCGTACCTATTTTTACTCCTCTACTTCTGTCGTACCAAAGGAATGTTCACTCACCATGGGCGGTGAAAGTTGTGATGCCATTTTGATGGTGCGCAAGAACCCCTCCATGTTGCGGTCGCATGTCTCATCATCTAATGCGTCCTCCACACTGTACCATAAATTAGGGTTGGTTGGGGTGGAGTGGGGAGGGAAGGTAAAAAGAGATGGCGAAATATTTGAATTGTGGGAGAAGTCATTTATAAAACGAATGGGGGTGAGATTTTTATGAACATTCGTATTGTTAGTGTTTGATAGAACACTTCAACAACTCGTTTTGGAAGACCAACCGGCACTGCAATTTCATCCACCTTCGCGAGCCGCGGAAGTCCGAATCCCGCAGAAACTCGCGACTCCCAATGTCCCCTGAAATGCGGGTGTTCCCCAAACCGCGCACCCACGAGCCTGTTCCAACTTCCAATCCCAACCAGCTGGCAAATTTTCCTGCCTGTTCCGCACTCCCCGCCTCCCTAGTAAGTACTACATAAATCGACCCACTTGCCGTCTGACTAATCCATCCGACTCCTCTCTCTCACGCATAATCTAAGCCCCCATCAGCTTAGACATAAACTCGTTTTACGCACCCGCGGAAATGGAGGGAACCTCGGGAACATCGGGTCCAGCTACTGGCGGAGCTTGTACTGGCGGAGCTCCCACTGGCGGAGCTCCTACAGGCGAAGCTCCTACCCGCGGAGCTCCTACTCGCGGAGCTCCTGTCAGCGGAGGCGGAGCCCCTGTGGGCGGAGGCGGAGCTACGTTTCTCCCGCGCCTGACCACTACCTCGGCCCACGGCGAAGGCACCTCCGCTGAGCCGGCGGGGACTGGAACTCCTCAGCAGCAGAACCCCGTCACGACGACTACTGGTACTACTTCATTCACCCCTGCTACTCCTACCAGGGCCACGGGAGGCCCCAACTCGAACGCGGGAGGCCCCAACTCGAACGCGGGAGGCCCCCACTCGAACGCGGGAGCCCCCAACGCGAACGCGGGAGCCCCCATCGCGAACGCAGGAGGCCCTAACGCGAACGCAGGAGGCCCCAACGCGAATGCGGGAGCCCCCAACGTGAACGCGGGAGCCCCCAACGCGAACGTTGACGCGGACGCGGATCACGAATACGAATCGTGTTTGGAGCAGCGCGAGCAGCTGCAGTGCGCGGCTGAGGCCGCGTCGTCATGGGCGACCATGTCGTCTCTCGCCGCCACCTACGCGTCCTGCACGGCGTTCGTCGCCGTGGTCGCCGCGCTCGGCGCAACTGCCGCCCTCACGCTGTCCAGCGCGGAAGCCGCGGAGACTCCGCGCAAGGAGACGTTCAGCGCGCTTGCGTGCGCCATCTCTGCCACGACCAGTACGATGATCGTGGCGGCGGCGGCGTCCGCGACGTCGACCGTCGCGAGCACGGGCGCGCACGCGTCGAGTGGTCTGACGGAACGACTGGTTTCGATGGCCAAGGCGCAGCAGCGACGTGTGGACGCGGCGGCGAGGAGGAGGGAGCGAGAAGAGAGGAGGGCGCGTGACGAAAGGAGGCCACGCGAAGAGTAAACGAGTTCTGTCGAAGCACCGTTAGATGGACTAACTGAGTCTGTCCCGTCCTGCACGCGAATGATATGCTCTCCTGTCCTGGCAGGTTCCGTTAACGAAGGAAGGGGTCACATGTAAGATTAGTATAGCTCAACACCTCGTATTCGCTCGTGGGAAAGAATGTAGTTAACAGATCCGTAACCGCCATGAAGTTGTGGTTGAAGCATTTGACTGTGTAGCTCGACTAAAGCTGTGCCTTGGTAGTTGTTTCTTGCTAGCTGTTCCTCTGTGGCTGTTTCTCGGTAGCTGAATTTGTGCTAGCTAGTTTCTCAGTGCTTGCTTTGTAATTAACACGTATAAAAACCATTCCATATTCCCCTTCCGCTGAATGAATAAGTAAGGGCATCCTAATGGAACCGGGTGTAAGTAGGTTCGTTTAACACGAATGAATGTGTCGACTCAAAAACGAAACTACTTGCACAATGAGTAACGGCATCCTAGTGGAACCTAAACCAGAAGAGCGCGAATAAGCTAAGGAGCGCGAACAAGTTCGCGATTCTCGCTTGCTTCGCCTTGTGCTCTGCGTCGACTCTCTCTACCTCCTGTCCCAGACATTTATTTTCCGTACGCTGATTCGTCGCACGAGCCGAAAAGGATAGTGTACTGTACCTCAAGTCCAGAATGCCTTTGAGCCCAAGCTGCTGAATGCGGTCGAGCGTCGCAACCGCCTCCTCCAGCGTCTCCCCCGCGCTTAGATGCTTGCGCGCCGTCTTCCGCACCCCCCACAGCACTTCCCCCCCCCTTTTCCCTTCCCCTTCCCCATCCCCCCTTCCTGGTCTAAAAGGGCGAAGTGTACAGTGACCTACCTGAAGTCCAGAATGCCTTTGAGCCCCAGTTGCTGCATGCGGTCGAGCGTCGCAACGGCCTCCTCGAGAGTCTCCCCCGCGCAGAAGTGCTTGTGCGCCGTCTTCCGCACCCCCCACAGCACGGGCCCCGCCACCAGCGGGATCCGCATCACCGGTGACGTCAGCAGCGCTGAGCTGGCGTCCACCACCATCTCCCGCGCCGCCATTTCGAGGTTCAGGATCGCGTTCGCAACCTCGGACGTGGACAGCTGCTGAAAGAGCTTCTGCACGTTTTCCACCTTCAGCGACTCCGCCGCCGCCGCCGCATCTCCCGCCGTGGCTCCCGCCGCTCCGCCCGCCGCCTTTCGCGCGGCATCTGTCAGCGTGGACGACGCCACGTCAGCTTTGCCGCCGCTGGAACCGCGGGAGGAGAAGAAAGGACGCGCAGAAAGGGTCGGAAGAGCGGCACTCGCGGCGAATGGGGGAGCCAGTGAAGCCAGAGGGAGCGAAGGGCGCGCGCGGAAAGAAGGGGACGCGAGCGAGCGGGTGGGTCGGATGGGAGAGGAGAGGTGAGAGTGAAGAAAGCGCCTGGCGAGTGAAGACACGTTGACAGGCGTGGTGGCGGAGGTGGTTGGCGCTACGGCTGTAGCGGGTTCATGAGCTGGAGAGGTTCCGGAGGGAAGTACAGAGGCGGAGGGAATAGAAGGAGGGGCGTGAGAAAGCGTGGTGAGAGCGGCCAGTGAGTGCTGGAGAAGGAACGATGCTGGAGCGGCGAGGAGGAGGTGGTGGTGGAGTTGGACGGCCGCGCTGAGAGCGTGGCTAGAAGACGACATTCCGTTAGTCGTTGCCGCCATCGTTGTTCCGTTAGTCGTTCTTTTTGTCAGATTTACGCTAGTACTAACACCCTGCGTGGTAAACTTTATTCTGACGGCTCGGGTTTACGACGTGAGACAGCTTGATCCGCTCATTGCCACTGAAGTAAGCACGCTCTGCGCTCTACCTTAGCTTAGGCTTGGAAAGACCGCGCTCGCTGAAGCTCAGGGAAGTAATGGCAATGGACGTGCTTTGAGGCGCCTCAAAGCTTGATCATTGTCCACAAATCAGTACGTACGAACTTTTGAGTCGACTCAAAAGTCACCTCAAATCAGTCGGACGAAGGTCGTTGTAGGGAATACTAGACGCAGAAGGTACGAGATTTACTGCGTGAGGAACAACGTGAAGAAATTCTAGCTATCGAAGGAAGAACGTTATGAATCGGAGCTAGAGAAGGACATCATGTGGTAGGAGAAACCATGGCTGCCTGAAGAAGGCTGAGAAATTGTGGCTGGTCGATGACGGTTAGCTATGGTCAAGCACGCCCTGCGCATGTGGTTGGGACGCAGGGAGGCTGGGGGGAGGAAACCTTGGGAATTTCCCTGGGAGAGCGCTGACGTGGAAGCTGTAACACTGAACAGAGGCGCACCCATTGGCTGACCTTCGCTGTTTTTTTTTTTTTGCTAAGCTGGATAATTCCACTGTGAATGACGTGGTTTGTCGGGCCAATGACGAGGGAGCAGGCTGGATATTCGCTGGAAGGTCGTCAGGCTGACTACACGCCGCTCCCAAGGTTGTTGGAATACACTCCACGGAAATCGAGAATGGCAAGTTACATTTCGTTCTGTACCAGATAGCTGACCACACTGATAATGCTTCTGTCTTGTTGTCGAAACAGGCACTAAGGCGTATTTTTAGGTGTACCACCCTCCCATACATATTTGCCCCTGGGCTCCTCAGGATTCTCTCAACTCCATCGACAGGCTTTCCCAGCAGAGGAAATCACTTCTCTCCATTGGAAAGACGAGTCGGACTGCTGAGAGCCGTTGATCAGCTGGGCCCACCATGGCCCCTCTTCGCGCGTCCGCGCGTCGCGCGCTGACGCGGCTCCAGAGTAGTCAACCGTTGATATTACCCCCCTTGTCGTCAGAATCAGCGGTTGGTACAGCGGCGGGTAGGACAGCGACCGTCACGACGGGAACAACGGCGGGTATCACGGCGGGGATCACGGAGAGGACACCAGCGATTTTTAGATCCCTGTCCTGGTACGAATCCACCCTAGCTGGCGTCGCTAGATGCGGATCGCACGGTCCGTGTCCGTCGCAGCCGTTGAGCGCACTGTTGACGCGAGATCAACGGTCGGGGTTCATTTCCCGGGGCGCTCTAGCAGGAGCCGTTAGGATTCTGAGGTCTGGTGGACCGTTGGGTTCCAGTAACGGCGGATCTGTGCCGTTTAGTTCGCTTCGGCAGCCGATCCAACGGCTGACGATAGCCCATCCGCCTCTTTACGCGGGGTTTCCGCTTTTGCGCGGGTTTAGCGCTTCCACTGCTGCTGCAGATGGTGACAAGAGAGGCGAGTCGAAGCTGGAAGAGCCACGGGCTACGAGGCCCCTCCGTCGCGATTCAAGGGTTGGATTCCAGCGGCTGGGGCAGGATCCGTGGGATCGGACGGCTGGGAGCAGCTGGGCAGTTTCAGATGCGAAAGATCAAACGGTGGGGAGGCGTTCTTCGGGTGATCGAACGGCGGAGGGTGATCGCAGGGAGATCGATGGGGCAGGGACGAGCAGGATGGGAGGTGGGAGCGAGTGGGAGAAGAGGAGGGAAGGAGGGAGGGATTGGGAAAACCGGAGAGATGGGGAGAAACGGAAGGAAGGAGGTAGGGACTGGGGGAATAATAGAGAGTGGGAGAACGAAGGTGGGGGTGATAGAGAGTTGCAGAGAGGGAGGGGAGGAGGGAGGGGAGAAGGGAGAGGAGGGAGAGGAGGAGGGAGAGGAGGAGGGAGAGGAGGAGGGAGAGGGTGGGAGAGTAGAAGGGGCGGTGATCGGGAGTGGGGAAACAGGGGAGGAGCGAGGGAGTCGGGGCAGGGGTCGGAAGGGGTTAGGGAGTGGGGGAATAGGAGAGAGTGGGGGGATAGAAACGGGGGTGGTAGAGAATGGGGAAGCAGAGAGGGGGGCGGCAGAGAGAGGGGGGGCAGGAGCGGAGGTGGTCGAGAGTGGGAGACGAGGGGCGGAGCGCGATCGTGGGAGCAGCGGGGGTCGCGGAGCAGTAGAGAGCGCGAGATGTTCAAGCGGGGGGGGAGCGCAGAGGGACCGCGCGATGGTGGCAGTAGCTTTGGCAGTCAGGGCGATCGCCGCAGCAGCTTTGAAAGAAGCAGGGGCGATAACGAGAGAAGCTTCAGCAGACATGGCGACGATAGCGCGAGCAGTGGCAGGGGAGGTTGGGGGGACAGAGGGAGCAGGGGAGGGAGGGGAGGCAGAGGGGGAAGGGGGGACAGGGGGAGCAGGGGGGGCAGGGGGAGCTGGGGGGACAGGGGGAGCAGTGGGGGGAGTGGCAGCTGGGGGAACAGGGGGGGTAGGGGGCGCGGAGGGGGGAGGGGACGCGGCGGGGGTATGGGGATCAGAGGGTCCAGCGGGTATGGGGAAAGTATTGGGGAGAGCAGCAGGGGGAGTGGCGGCACACTAGGCGCGCGGAGAAATGGATGGGCGGAGAGAGAAACGGGGATAACATCCGCCCTGCAGGGAGAAGGATGGGGGGAGATTGGAGCGGAGATAAGGGAAGGGGCGCAAGGAGGGGAGAATGTCGGGGGAAGAGGGGCGGAAAGGGCGGAAGGAGCGGAGGAAGAGGGGGGGTACAAGGGGGTGTTTTGGGTGAGCGGGAGCGGGTATAAGGGCACGGGGAGGGATCGAAGGAGAGATATGAGTGGTGCGGCGGGCACTAGTGCTGATGGGGAGAGGTGGAGGGGGGAAGGGGACGAGGGGGAGGAGGAAGAGGAAGAGGAAGAGGAGGAGGAGGAGGAGGAGGAGGACGAGGAGGACGAGGAGGAGGAGGGGGAAGAGGAGAAGGACGAAGGGGAGGAGGCATGGGAAGAGAACCAGGTTGGGAGGAAGGTCGGTGGGGGTCGGGATCCTAAGCGCCAGGTGTTTCCCCAGGGCCTTTCCGCTCAGGAGAAACAGCAGATTTGGAAGGAATCAAATCTCGTGCTGGACCTGCCGCCCGGGAGGCGCCAATTCGGGCGGCAAGAGCGCGAGGGTAGGGGCATGCAGGATGGATGGGGTGAGGAGAAGGAGAGTGAGTGGGGAGAGAGGGCTCAAGAGAGGAGGCAAGAGAGGCTGAACGTTGATGTGCCTGAGGATGCAGAGCGGTGGCAGCGGAAGATGGTGGAGAAACGAGCCAAGAGGGAGGCGGTGATGGAGAGGGAGTGGGATAGGGACAGGGAATCCGATCAGGGTTTAAGCGGGGGTTCGGGTTTAGGCGGGGTTTCGGGTGAGGACGACCAGGTGGCCGGAGGAGCTGACGTGGCAGCGTTGCGCGTGGCGTGGCTGATTGATGAGCTGGCGGTGCTGCGGCCAGCGGCGATCGTGAAGCTGCTGAACGGGCAGCGGGCGTGGATCGGGATGGAGCATGTGGAAGGGATTGTTAGGGGGCTGCTGGAGCGAGGGGAGACTCTGCGTGCAATCAGGGTGAGTTATGCGGTGATCATGTGTTTAATGCGGTCATGTGTTATGCGGTGATCATGTGTTTAATGCGATCATGTGTTATTGTGTGAAACTGCTGAACGGGCAGCGGGCGTGAATTGTGATGGGGATGGTTTGAGGCGCCTCAAAATCAAGGTGAGTTATGCCGTGATCATGTGTTTAATGCGATGTTATTGTGTGAAACTGCTGAACGGGCAGTGGGCGTGTATCTGGATGGTGATGTGGAAGGGGTGGTGAGAGGGCTCTTGCAGCGAAGGGAGACTCAGCGTGCAATCGGGATGAGTGATGCGGTGTTAGTGTGTGTAGTGCGGTGCTGAAGTGTGAGACTGCTGAATGGGCACCTGGCGTGGATGGGGATGGGGCATGTGGAAGGGGCGGTTAGAGGGCGGCTGGAGCGAGGGGAGGTACTACGTGCCATCAGGGTGAGTGATCAGGCTTAGTGTTAAGCCTCTTGATGGGCCACTAAGCAATCTACCTTCTAGGTCGACATACAGATACTAAGCAGTCCCCCTTGCCCTGCTTGATGCGTACCTATTGTCAACCCATCCCCTGCTGGTCCCCTCTCTTTCACCCCTACTCCTCTCCCCCCTTTCCCCCCTTTCCCCCGTCTCCCCCGTCTCCCCCGTCTCACGCCTCTCCCCCCTCTACCCACTTGCCCTTTCCAGGCACTGAATTGGGCCTTTTACTTCTTTTCCTTTGCGCGCCAAACCGCCTTCTACTGCCGGCCAATGCCCTCCGTCTAGGGGTAATCTTCTGCTGCGTCTCCCCCTTCCTGCTTTCCTCCTCCGCCTCCCTCCCCCCCACCCCCCGCAGTCCATTACCAGTGTCTGAAATGGGCCCACCAGGTGGCCTTCTACTCTCCCATCCCCTCCCTCTATGCCGGCCTATTGCCAGCCCACCCATTGTCCCCCCTGCTCCCCTTCCCTCCTCCCCTCTCCCCGCCCCGCCCTCTCTCTGCAGGCGCTGAAATGGGCACGCCAGGCGGCCTTCTACTGGCCCATTCCTCCCCTCTACGCGGACCTACGTTCAACTCTTCCCCTCTCCTCTTCCCCTCTCCTCTTCCCCTCTCCTCTTCCCCTCTCCTCTTCCTCTCCTTCCTGGCCTGCCTAACGCACCCGTCGTTCTCCCCTGCTCCCCCCCCTCTCTTTTTGAGGCGCCTCAAAACTAGACTCTCTCTGCAGGCGCTGAAATGGCCGCGCCAAGCCGCCTTCTGCTGTCCCATTCCGTCTCTGTATGCTGACCTATTAGATGCGGCGTCGACCAATCAGCACATGCCACGTGCGCAGGAGCTGTTTGACATGATGCTGGCGCACGGCCTGGTGCCTGCGAGAAAGACCCTAGAAGGACCCTAGAACGAGCTACGAGGGGCTCATGCGCATGTTCCTTGGGAGGACCTTCTCTAAGCTCTCCACGTGTCCTCCTCTTCCTCTCCCCCTTCCCCCCCGCCTCCCCTTCCTTCATTCCCGGTTCCCCCATCATCAGGCGCTCAAATGGGCGCGCCAAGCCGCCTTCTACTACCCCATCCCGTCTCTGTATGCTGACCTACTGGACGCGGCGTCGGCCAATCAGCATGTGCCACGTGCGCAGGAGCTGTTTGACATGATGCTGGCACACGGGCTGGTCCCCCCCAGGCGCAACTACGAGGGGCTCATCCGCATGTTCCTGGGGGAGAGCCTCAGGGCGGAAGAGGGGGAGGCGGGGACTGGGGAGGAAGCCGAGGGGAAGGAGAAGAGTAGAGCGGTGGAGAGCGGTGCAGGGGCAGCAGGGGAGGCGCCAGCTGGGATAGGAGCTAAAGGATCCAAAGAAGCTAAAAAGGGCAAAGAACCCAAGGAAGGCAAAGGCGAGGAAGAAGCGAGGGTTTTCAAAGGGTTTAAGGAGCTGAAGAAAGCAGCCAAGGCGGCAACGGAGGTGGAGAAAGCGTGGGAGGTGTACCGGCAGATGAAGCAGTTCGCCGAGCTGGTGCCGTCCCGAGGGATACAGGAGGAGCTATGGGGCGTGCTGACCCAGCGCTGCAGCCAGGGGCGGCACATAGTGAAGGCAGAGGAGTTATTGCGTGATATGGAGGAGAGGGAGGCGGATGAGAGGACGAGGGGGGTTGAGGGGGAGGAGGAGGGAGAGGGGGGTGGGGAAGGGCGTGGGAGTGTGAGTGCGAGTGATCGTGGCAGGCGGGCAGGCGGGGAGAGTGATAATGGTGATGTGGCACAGTCCCGGGTCCGTGCCGCCCGGTATTCCCTCCTGCTGCGCCATGCCAGCATGGCAGGTGATGTGGCACGCACTGACAACCTGCTCTCCCGGATGCGGGCGGCCGGAATACAGCCGAGCGCCGCCGCCCTCGAGGCGCCAGTTGTTGCTTGTGCACTGGCTGGGAAGAAGAGGAGAGATGTGGAGGGAGGGAGGGTGAGGGGAGTAGTAGGGGGAATGAGTGGAGGAGCAGGGGGGGTGAGGGGAGGAGTGAGGCAGTCGAATCTGGCGGAAAGGGCAGAGAGGGGGGTGGAAGAGCTTGAATCGGAAGGTTTTCGGCCCGGGCAGGTGGTGCTGGCAGCGCTGATGGAGGCTTACAACCTAGCCGGGCAGCACGAAAAAGTTTTGCCGGTGTGGCCCAGAGTGCTGGAGGCAGGAGGAAAAGTTTCGAGGCGGGTCAAGGGGGCAGCTGACAGGGATGGGGAAGGGGAGGGGGAAATGGAGGGGGGAGGGGAGGGGGGAGAGGATAAGGAAGGGGATGGGCAGTGGAAGGACCAGAGGGTGATGGTGAGGGCCTATAACGCGTATGTGGAGGGGCTGGCAGGTGTGGGCGAGATGGAGAGGGCGGAAGAGGTGGTGGGGGAGATGGTCAAAAGGGGGGTCGTTGGGCGCCAACTGGGGGAGGCGTATCTGTCACTGCTAAGGGGGTATGTGCAGGAGGGGGGGGGAGGGGGAGGGGGAGAGGAGGGATGGGGGGAAGTGGGAGCAGAAGTTGGGCGGAAAGCACTGGAGGCGGTGGGTGGGTGTTTCCGAGCCATGATCCAGGCTCGGTGGGAGCCGAACCAGGAGGCTTGGAACCTGTACGTCCGGGCGTTGATCCAGGCTGGGGAGAGGGATGCAGCTTTGAAGGTATACAGAGCGATGCAGAGGTGGGAGGATGGGACGCGGAGGAGGGTATTGCAGGAGAGAAGGGAGAGGAACAAGGGAGGGGGGAACAAGGGTAAGGGGAAGAAGAGCGGAAAGGGGGTAGCGACTGGGGATGGGGTGAGTGAGGGGGATATTGAGGGGGCTGGTGGGGCGGTCAGTGAAGCAGAGAGGGTGACGGTGGTCGGGTCAGGTTTGGAGGGAGGTTTGGCGGTGAGGTCCGGGCCGAACCAGGAGACGTTCAACATGATGATAGGCACGTTCGGCGCGGCTGGTGATCTTGACACTGTGAGATCAATCTACACCGACCTTAGAGGTGGCGTGGCTCTTGCTCCTGCTGCTGCTGCCACTGCTGCCACTACTGCCGGTGCGACTACGGCTGACACCGGTGAGAGTGCACTCACTGATTGGGAGGAGCAGCAAGCAAGGGAGGCGGGAGAAGTGGAGGAGGTATCGGATATAGAGGAATCAGTGGTTACCAGCCTTCCCGCAAAGCTTAAAGCCAGGCTCTTCGGCCCGGCCAGGCGCGCAGCAGAGCTCGCCGTGGGCAAGCGGCAGCTCCAAGCCGACGAAACAGCAGGGCTCAAGCTCACCCAGGAGCAGCGGCAGTTGCTGTCAGGGGTCATCCTGGCGGGCGCTGATGTGAGTAGTGATGATGGGGCCATGACGGCGGGGGTGCGGTTTGCAGTGGAGGCGGGGGATGAAAGGAAGGAGAGGGTGCTGGAGCATCTGTATGAGATGTTTGGGGAGTGGGCTGCTGGGCCGATTGTTGAAGAGGAGGTGAGGGTGGAGGGGAACTTGGAGGGAAGTGGAGGGATGGGAGAGAAATGGCGCAGTGGGGAGCAAGAGGAGGAGTGGGGAGAGAGGGAGGAGGGGGAGGAGGGGGAGGAGGGGGAGGAGGGGGAGGAAGTGGAGGGGTACAAGAGGAGGTATATGCAGGAGAAGGAAGGGGAATGGCTGGCTGGAGATGACCCCAGTGGGGCTGAGAGGGCTAGCAGCAGCAGCAGCAGCACGGAGGCCAGAACAATGCGAGTGCTGACTTTTAGCACAGTGCCGCACCCCTCGCTGTGCTTCTACCTGCACCAGTACCGCCCTGAGAAGCAGGGCGGGCGTGCTGCCGTCCCTCGCCTCGTGCACAAGTGGCTCACGCCCCGCGCCCTCGCGTACTGGTATATGTACGCCGGCCAACGCGGCCAACCGAGTCAACGCAGTCAACGTGGCAGCAGCAGCAGCAGTTCTAGTGATGTTGGAAGAACAGCTGCAGAGGGTTCTATCATTCTGGATGCAGGGATGTACGAGGCCAAAGAGGTGGCTCTTATAGTGAAGGCGCTTAAAGCGAGGACGATCGACTGTGCCCAGAGCAAGAGGGGCAAGGGCAGCAAGGGGCAGAGAGCTGTCAGGTTCTCGGGCCCCTCGGCCCAATTTCTCTGGAAATTCATGGAGCCTTTTGTTCTGGAGGAGATGAAGGAGGAGTTGAATCCGGTGATAAGGGGTTCAAGTGGGGGAGGGGGTGGAGAGAGAGGAGGGGGAAGGGGAGGAGGGAGAGTGGGGTTGGGGAAGTTCACGGTGGGGGAGAGAGGGGAGGTGGTGGGAGAGGAGAGGTTTGTGGGTGGGGCAAAGGGCAGCCCGAACGAGGAGGCACGGGAGAGCGAGGAGGACCGGCGAGAGGGTTGGGTGAATCTGGCTCGAGCATCCAAGTGGGTGGAGTTTAGTTCTTTTGTGTAGGGTGAGGCGCCAAGTGCTCTTGCTAAGTCTGGCTCCCACATTTTTTTAAAATGACGTATGCTGATGTGATGGCAGCCGTCTTGGGTTTGGGGTTGTGGCTCGTAAGTTTGTTGTGATGGTATGCAAGCAGGGCTGTCGTTATCATGGTATTTTACCCTGATTCCCTGATTTCACAAGGTATTTTTTTTGCCAACCCTTAATTTTCAGGGTTGGGTTTTTTTTTACCCTAACCTCTTCAGGGTTGTATGTCTGTGAACACTTAGAAATTCAGGGTTTGCGTCCCAAAACTGTGTTTTCAGGGAGTAACACATACGTGTCAACTTATACATATTATCTATGTAGAAGTTATAGGCTAGACTGAGGTATGCTTCTAGTGAGTACAACCAACTAGTATTTGTTCTAGGTTTCCACCTCTAGTAATCATTCGTTTCTACGTTAACATGGTATCACGCTTAGGTTAGGATCCCCCCGCCTACCGCTTCCGCCCGTCGCGCCTCCTAGGCCCCGTCGCGCCCCCTAGGCCCCGTCGCGCCCCCCCTGTGCCCCGTCGCGCTCGTTAGGCCCCGTCGCGCCCCCCCTGGGCCCCGTCGTGCCCGCTGGGCCCCGTCGCGCCTCCTAGGCCCCGTCGCGCTCCCCCTGGGCCCCGTCGCGCCCGCTGGGCCCCGTCGCGACCCCTAGGCCCTAACGCGCCCCCGCTGGGCCCCGTTGCGCCTCCTAGGCCCCGTCGCGCCCCCCATGGGCCCCGTCGAGCCCGCTGAGCCCCGTCGTGCCTCCTAGGCATCGTCGCGCCTCCTAAGCCCCGTCGCGTCCCCCCCCCTCTGGGCCCCGTCGCGCCCGTTCGGCCCCGTCGCGCCCCTCCTAGGCCCTGTCGTGCCCGCTGGGCCCCGTCGCGCCTCCTAGGCCCCGTCGCGCCCCCTCTGGGCACCGTCGCGCCCGCTGGGCCCTGTCGCGCCTCCTAGGCCCCGTCGCACCCGCTGGGCCCCTTCGCGCTTCCAAGGCCCCGTCGCGCCTGCTAGGCCCCGTCGCGCCCCCCCTGGGCCCCGTCGCGCCCGTTAGGCCCCGTCGCGGCCCCCCTGGGCCCCGTCGTGCCCGCTGGTCCCCGTCGCGCCTCCTCGGCCCCGTCGCGCCCCCCCTGGGCCCCGTCGTGCCCGCTGGGCCCCGTCGCGCCCCTTAGGCCTCGTCGCGCCCGCTGGCCCCTGTCGCGCCTGCTGTTAGCGCTCGCCTGCCTGGCCTCCTAGTGCCGCTCGGCCTCCTCCTAGTGCCGCCCGGCCCCTTCCTAGCGCCGCCCGGCCTCTCCTCAGCGCTGCCCGGCCCCTCCTCGTGCCCGACCGGCCCCAGCAGCACCAGCCTGGCCCCTCCCAGCACCAGCCCGGCCCCAGAGCACCTGCCCGCCTCCCCTGCTCGGCCTGCCGTGTCCTCTCGGGCCCTGTGTCTTCTGCTCGCCTGCGCTGGGACGCCTAGCTGCTGCCCTACTGGAGAGTGCTGCCAAATGTCCCCGCGCCGCTGTGCTCCTGTGCCGCTGAGGAGCTGTGCTGCTGTGCCGCTGTGTCGCTGAGGAGCTGTGCCGCCGACCCTGCACGATGGCTGACTTTGTGCTCCGCCTGGACGCTGAGGGCCACGCGGTTGACTTCGCCGCCTGGCTCTCCGATCTCCGCCGCCAGCTTACAGGTCAGCGCCAGGATGGCCACTCTCTGGTTGTCCATGCTGATGGCTTGCTCCCCCGTCCCCCTGCACCTACTCCCCTCCCTGCTGACCCCTCCTCTGATGACCGTGAGGCTTTCTCTACTGCTGCGCTGGCCTGTGCGGTCTGGGACTCACGCGATGCAGTAGCTCAGGTTGCTATTAGTCACGCCCTCCCTGTGTCTGAGCGCTCGCGTTTTGCTACTGTTGAAACGGCCAAAGCTTATTTAGACGCCGTTATTGCTCGCTATTCCACCCCTGCCTCCGCTTCTGCTGGCCGCTTGCTCTTTCCGATGCTGTTCCCAGACCTGGCTGCCTTCCCTACTGTCGCAGACTTTGCCACTCATTTGCGTGCCCTAGAGACTCGCTATCGCACTGCCAGCACTGCTGCCCAGCTCACTGCGCTCCCCCCTCCTTTCTGCATGACGCTCTATTTTATCGCTATGCGCCTGCCAGACTGCCTCGCTAGTGCTCGCGACCACTTTCTTAGCCAGCACCCGGGTGACCTCACCCTGATCGCCTTTGTCGACACCCTCACTGAGATCGAGACTCGCCAGCGCACTATCGCTCAGTCGAGCGGTGCGCCGGCAGTCTCTATCTTTCACGGCTGTGCCCCATCCCAGTGCACGTTCACTGACGTTTCGGCTGCGGTCGCCACGGCGACCCCTCTTACCGAGACGGCTGCTGCTGTCCACCCGCAGCAACGCTCGCGTCGCGGTGGCCGTGGCCGCCAGGGAGGTAGGGGTGGTGACGCAGGTGGTAGTGGTCGTGGTGGTGGTGACGGTAGTCCGCCTGAGGGGACTACCACCGGTGGGCAGGAGCAGCAGCCCCAGCAGCAGCAGGACCAGCCCCAGCCGCAGCCGCCGTCCCAGCAGCACCCGCCGCAGCCGTGGGCTCGTCTCCCGCCTGGTTGGCCCGGCACCTCCGGAGGCGGTGGCCGTGGTGGCGGCCCGCGCAGCTTGGCGTCTACCAGCGGCTCCAGTGCTGTGACCTGCCAGTACCAGCTTCAGACCGGGCCTCTCCGCGGCACTCTGTGCCGCCGCCCGCACCCGACCGCCCACTGTTTCCGCCGCCTCGACGATCTTTTTCGTCGTCGCTTTGGCCCGGCCCCGGACCTCCCTGACTGGCACAGCCTGCTCCGCCAGGGCGTGCCGATCTTTGAGTTAGACATGGATCAGATAGGTGCTGCTTTGCATGCTTTGTATGCTGACGCTTCTAGTGTTGATGGATCTTACTACCATGTGTACTCTAGTTTAGGTGTTTCACCCTTGTGTAGCTTAGCTTCCCCTGCTGCGACAGGCGTAGGACTGCCTAGGTTGCCTAGTCTAGTCGCTGCACCGGCTCCGTCCCCGGCCTCCGCCACTGCGTCGCTGTCCTTCACTCTCGACTCTGGTGCTTCTGCCTGCTTCTTCCGCGACCGTTCCACGCTCACGCCGCTTGCTGCACCTGCTGTTGTCTCTCTCGCTGACCCCTCTGCGGGTCCGGTCGTCGCGCGCAGTTCTACGTCCCTTCCTTGTCCGGCAGTTCCCTCGGGCTCCCTTACTGGCCTCCACGTTCCCTCGTTCTCCAGGAACCTGGTTGGTGTCGGTTGTCTCCAGGACCTCGGCGTCACCACCACGTTCCCCGGGCACGAGCGGTTCGCTGTCTGTTCTGAGGCTGTCTCAGGTTCCCCCCTTGCGACGTTCCCCCGGGACCCGGTGTCCGGTCTGTTTACCCTACACACTGCTTCCCCCCCGGTTGGTGCGTCCTCCCAGGTCGCTGCAGCTTGCTCGTGTCGGTCCCTCACTCACCCCTCCCTTCTCTGGCACCACCGCTTAGGTCACCCTGCTCTCCCGCGTCTGCGTCACATGTCCCAGCACGGTCTTGTCTTAGGTCTCCCCGCGTCGCTCCCTGCCCTTCCTCCCTCGACTGCGCCACCGTGCACGCCTTGCGTCGAGGGTCGGCTCCGCCGTGCTCCTCACTCCTCCTCGCTGCGTCCTGCTACTGCCCCCCTTCAGACCCTGCACTTGGACGTTTGGGGCCCTGCCCCCGTCCCCGGACCGCGCGGTGAGCGCTACTTCCTTGTGCTCGTCGACGACTACACGCGCTACACCACGGTGTTTCCCCTGGAGCGGAAGGCCGACGTGCCCGACGTTCTTCTCCCGTGGGTTGTGGCTGCGCGTCTCCACCGCGGTCTCCCCGTGTTGTGTCTCCACTCCGACCGTGGCGGCGAGTTCGCCTCTGGTCGGCTTGGACAGTTCTGTCGTGCGGAGGGCATCACCCAGTCGTACACGTTGCCGGACTCGCCACAGCAGAATGGGGTTGCTGAGCGCCGCATCGGCTTGGTCATGGAGGTCGCCCGTACCTCCATGATCCATGCCGATGCCCCCCATTTTCTGTGGCCGTTCGCTGTTCGCTACGCGGCTCACCAGCTTAACCTGTGGCCACGCTCCCAGCGGCCGCAGGTTTCGCCGACCCTCCTTTGGACCGGGTCCCCCGGTGACGCGTCTGCGTTCCACGTCTGGGGCTGCCTTGCTCACGTTCGTGCCTCTGGCACGGACAAGCTCACTGCCCGCACTGTCCCCTGTGTCTTCCTCGGTTTCCCCCTGGACTCGTCTGACTGGCTTTTCTACCACCCGCCGTCTCACCGCTTCCTCCACTCTCGTGACGTCACCTTTGACGAGTCCGTCTCCTTCTACCGCCGCTTCCCTCACCGAGGTCTCCCAGTTGCCCCCCCCCTTTTCCTTGCTCCCTCTCCCCCGGTAGCCCCTGCCCCTCTCCCGCCTCGTCCTGCCCCGTCTGGTGTCTCCCACGTCACTCCCCTCCCGTCGGTTGTCCCCGTTGAGGAGTCTGCTGACTCTGGTGGTACCCCCGGTCCGTCCTTGCAGCGTCCCCCTTCCCCGGTGCCTCCGCCCCCACTGTCGCAGTCGCCGACCCCGCTGCCGCCGCCGTCGCCGTCGCCGCCGCAGCCGTCGCCGCTGTCGTCGCCGCCGCCGCCGCTGTCGCTGCCGCAGCCGTCGCCGCTGTCGCCGCCGCCGCAGCCGTTGCCGCCACTGCCGCCGCTGCTCTCGGCCCCTGGGGGTGCTGGTGTGGAGGAGGGTGTTCGTCCTGCGGCTTCTGGGGGTGCCGCTGGTGTTGGAGGGGGTTCTCGCTCTGGGGGTGTTGGTTCTGGGGGTGCTGCTGTTGAGTGTTCTGCCGACGGTCGTTCTGCCTCTGCTGGTCCGAGAGTTCCGGCCCAGCCGTCGTCGCCGCCGCAGCAGCCGTCGCCGCCGGTTTCCGCTCCCCGCCTGCTCGGCCTTCCCTCCCCGGACCGCGCGCCGGTGTCTCCCCCACCGCCTCCTGACCTTCCTGTCTACGGTCCTGTGTTCCCGCCGCCAGACTCGTCTCCGGCCCGTCTTCCTCCTCGTTCCCCTCCTGTGTCTCCTCCGCTGTCCCCTGACCCTACCCCTCCGTCTCACGTTTGGGCTCGCCATCCCTCCCGTGCTCGTCCCGTCTCTCCTGTCCTGCCCACCCACCCTATGTTGCTCCGTTCCCACTCGTCTCGTCCTCCCCTCCTCCCGTCCCCTCCTCCCTCGTCCCTTGCTGTTGCACCTCCTCCGTTCTCTGACTACCTCCGTGCTGCTCGTCCCCTTGTCCCTCGGGTCCTTGCCTCTCTTGTTACCGACCCTGCTGTTCCTGTCTCGCGCCTTGACGCGCTTGTCGCTGCTGTCGCTGACTTCGCCTCTACCCGCCGCCTTGACTACGCTACCGCTCTGGTCTCTGACCCTGCCCGTCCTCTGTCCGTCGGGGGTGCTCCTGCCCTTGGCAGTGACGTCCTAGAGGACAGGCAGTACGAGCTGGCTTTCCTTTCCGAGGCTGCTCCCCATCTCTGCTCCATGCTGTTAGTCCCTGAGGGTGACCCAGACGCCTTCGACATCCCGACCCCTCGCACCTACGCTGAGGCCACCTCGGGACCTTGGGCCTCTCAGTGGATAGCTGCCATGGAGCAGGAGATGGCATCTTGGAGATCCACCGGCACTTACGTCGACGCAGTTCCCCCGCCTGGGGTGAACGTAGTCGATGGTCGGTGGCTCTTCAAGGTGAAGCGCCCCCCTGGAGAGCCGCCTGTCTTCAAGGCGCGCTACGTGGCCAGAGGTTTCAGTCAGCGCGAGGGGGTTGACTTCTTCCAGACCTTCGCCCCGACCCCGAAGATGACCACTCTTCGGGCGCTGCTACACGTAGCAGCACAGCGTGACTACGAGCTTCACTCCCTCGACTTCTCTACTGCCTTTCTTCAGGGCAGCCTACACGAGCAGGTCTACCTGCGCCGACCACAGGGCTTCACTGGTACCTTCCCTCCTGGGACCCAGTGGCTTCTCAGGCGCCCGGTCTACGGCCTGCGTCAGGCTCCCCGCGAGTGGCACGACACGCTACGTGCCACGTTAGCAGACCTGCAGTTCTTTCCGTCCTCTGCTGACCCTTCACTGTTTGTGCGTTCCGGCCAGACTCCGTTCTACATCCTTGTCTACGTAGACGACCTGGTCTTCGCTAATCCTGACAGGGACGCACTGGCCTCTGTGAAGGCTGAGCTGCTGAAGAGACACACCTGCACTGACCTTGGAGAGCTGCGTCGCTATCTTGGCCTGCAGATCTCTAGGGACAGAGCAGCACGCACCATCACTCTGACCCAGTCACACTTGGTGCGTCAGGTCCTTCAGAGGTTCGGTCTTCAGTTCTCCTCCGCACAGCCCACACCTCTACCCGTAGACCATGGGCTCTCTGCTCCCGTTCCTGAGGAGCCAGTAGAGCCCAGTGGCCCCTACGCAGAGCTGGTGGGTTGCCTCATGTACCTGATGACTTGCACTCGCCCAGATCTCGCATACCCTCTCAGCATCCTGGCTCGCTTTGTGGCTACAGGCAGACACCGACCTCAGCACTGGTCTGCCGCTAAGAGGGTTTTGCGTTATCTTGCTAGTACATCAGGCATGGGGTTAGTGCTAGGAGGACGCAGGCCAGTGGTCCTTACTGGGCACACAGACGCTTCTTGGGCAGACGACGCTGAGACGCTCAGGTCGTCGCAGGGCTAATGTTTCAGCCTTGGTTCGGGTGCTATCTCTTGGAGATCCACTCGCTCGTCGTCTGTGGCTCAGTCTAGCTGTGAGGCTGAGATCTACGCTGGTGCCATGGCGGCACAGGAGCTCCGCTGGCTGACCTTCTTGCTCACAGACTTAGGTGAGCGGCCTAGCTCTGCCCCGGTCCTGTACGCTGACAACAGGGCCATGATACTCCTGTGTCAGGAGCCTCGGCTTGAGGGCAGAGCGAAGCATATCCAGCTGCGGTACTTCCTCCTGCGCGAGCTACAGCAGCGCCGCCAGGCCCGCGTAGTTCACTTGGCCTCAGGTGCCAACACAGCTGATATCTTTACTAAGGCGCTTGCGCCTAAAGATCATCAGCGGCACTGTGTACAGCTTGGTCTTGTTCCTGTAGCTGCTCCCCTGTTAGGATCCTGATTGTGTACTCTCTATTATATATGCTTGTCAGACTGGCCTTGTGGCCTTACCTCCTGTGGCTGGACTAGTAGTGCCACCCTGGCTTGCTTCAGTTTTGGTTGTATTCTTGCTGACTGGTCTCCAGACCCCTGCCTCAGTGGTTGGACTAGTAGTGCCGCCCTGAGCTGTTTGCTTCTTGTTTAGTTTCACCCCTTGTCTAGCCTAGGGGGTGTGTCAACTTATACATATTATCTATGTAGAAGTTATAGGCTAGACTGAGGTATGCTTCTAGTGAGTACAACCAACTAGTATTTGTTCTAGGTTTCCACCTCTAGTAATCATTCGTTTCTACGTTAACAATACGAACCCTTAATGCGACATCCATGCGGACCCCGAGTTTCGGCGAAATGGCCCCCTTACGCGTGACGGGTCCCAGTCCAATGAATACGACCAGCACGCGTCACGTGGAGAATCTGCACTTGGCAAGATTCCCGCCGTGTACACGCTGTATGTTGCCATTTCAGTAACATTTCCAACCGTTAAGTGTGGGATGGTGCACTCCGTCATGCCCCAGCCTGGCGTTTGTGACTTAGCACGCAGCAGACGAGGACAGAATATGCTGAGCGCTGCAATGTCAGCCTCTGTATGACATCACAGAGCCAATCATCTCTATGCATACGATGCCAGCACAGGTGCGTCCCGCCGTTGACGGTATCGCCATGGCGATGCGGGATCGTGGATGGGTTATGCACCGTCCATGAAAAGCGAAATCTGGGGTTTCTTGGTCCCCTTCCCATCTTCTTCACCAGCTTCTCCTCCAACCCAGTTTCCTCCTTTTCTTCACATCGCAGATACGAGATGCTCCATTCTACTTTCTCGTCCACTTTCGTCGCGCCTAGTTCTCGTTTCGATCATATCCGCCGCTACTCGCTATGGCGGATGTAGGAGAGTCTGGTGAGTCTCCCGCCGCCGATGATGGTTCTGGACTAGGTAGGGACCCCCTCGTGGAGGTCCGTAGATCAGCTCTAGATATCTTGCGGTGTCCCACCGTAGTCGCAACACCATCACAACCCGTATCTACTCCCGCTCCCTATGTACCTCCGCCCGCTGTCGCTTCATCTAGCCGGGGCCCTTGGGTTCCAGACTGCGAGACAGCACGACCGTGCGTTACACGGTCGAGTGTGCTTCCACGATTTCATATGGGAAAAAAGCACGCACCGGGAAGCACACCCAGAGCACGATAGTCCTCGGCGAGAAGCTATGTCGACCCTCGCCGCCTCGCACGTCGCCTGAACCTTAGGCCCCTGCTATTCCAGAACCCGAGCCGCCGAAGCTCTCGAAGAAAGAATTCATCGAGCAGAAGTATCTCATGGCTGAGCACAAGTATAAGACCAGCAGGCTTCCATTTTTCCCTTGGCTTCTGCTAACGAAAACGAAAGACGGTTACCCGGCGTTGAAGTGCAGTGTGTGCAAGGCTTTCGGCAAAGAGACAACACCGTACTCCAACAGCCGCGACGGGGCACGTGACCTACAGACGCAAGCGATGCGGTTCCACGAACACACGACAGCCCACGAAGTAGCAGTCAAGCGTCAGATGGAGATCGCCGAAGACATCGCCAGCACCAAGAGGCGCATGGAGAATTACGCGCGGACTGACATTGAGTGGAAGCACGTCATGAGGCTCCTACATTGTGTCAACTTCCTGTGCAAGTGTGATGCACCCATCAGCATGTACCCGAGGCTACTCCGCTTCATGGCCAAGCAGGAGACCCCAGACATTCCGCTGCATTCTTACGGAGTCTACCTGACACGGTAATGCACTCATTCCAAATACACCATATCCTTCATTTATTTAGTAGGTCTAACAACCTCCCTGTTTCACTCACAACATACCATAGCGCGTATTCAATGTGCCACACTTTTGTAATTTAGCGTAAAGACATGACACATTTTATCCACTTTATATGCCGAAGCATTTTCTGCTTGTTTTCACTTTACAAACCAAAATGAAACAGAACCTTCATCCCATTTGTCCCGTGATTCTCATAGAATATAGCCCCCTGTCGCAATTCCAGCGGCTGGGGCAGGATCCGTGGGATCAGACGGCTGGGAGCAGCTGGGCAGTTTCAGATGCGAAAGATCAAACGGTGGGGAGGCGTTCTTCGGGTGATCGAACGGCGGAGGGTGATCGCAGGGAGATCGATGGGGCAGGGACGAGCAGGATGGGAGGTGGGAGCGAGTGGGAGAAGAGGAGGGAAGGAGGGAGGGATTGGGAAAACCGGAGAGATGGGGAGAAACGGAAGGAAGGAGGTAGGGACTGGGGGAATAATAGAGAGTGGGAGAACAGAGGTGGGGGTGATAGAGAGTTGCAGAGAGGGAGGGGAGGAGGGAGGGGAGAAGGGAGAGGAGGAGGGAGAGGAGGAGGGAGAGGAGGAGGGAGAGGGTGGGAGAGTAGGAGAGGCGGTGATCGGGAGTGGGGAAACAGGGGAGGAGCGAGGGAGTCGGAGCAGGGGTTGGAAGGGGTTAGGGAGTGGGGGAAGAGGAGAGAGTGGGGGGATAGAAACGGGGGTGGTAGAGAATGGGGAAGCAGAGAGGGGGGAAGCAGAGAGGGGGGCGGCGGAGAGAGGGGGGGCAAGAGCTGAGGTGGTCGAGAGTGGGAGACGAGGGGCGGAGCGCGATCGTGGGAGCAGCGGGGGTCGTGGAGCAGTAGAGAGCGCGAGATGTTCAAGCGGGGGGGGGGGGGAGCACAGAGGGACCGCGCGATGGTGGCAGTAGCTTTGGCAGTCAGGGCGATCGCCGCAGCAGCATTGCAAGAAGCAGGGGCGATCACGAGAAAAGCTTCAGCCGATATGGCGACGATAGCGCGAGCAGTGGCAGGGGAGGTTGGGGGACAGAGGGAGCAGGGGAGGGAGGGGAGGCGGAGGGGGGAGGGGGACAGGGGGAGCAGGGGGGGCAGGGGGAGCTGGGGGGACAGGGGGAGCAGTGGGGGGAGTGACAGCTGGGGGAACAGGGGGGTAGGGGGCGCGGAGAGGGGAGGGGACGCGGCGGGGTATGGGGATCAGAGGGTCCAGCGGGTATGGGGAAAGTATTGGGGAGAGCAGCAGGGGGAGTGGCGGCGCACTAGGCGCGCGGAGAAATGGATGGGCGGAGAGAGAAACGGGGATAACATCCGCCCTGCAGGGAGAAGGATGGGGGGAGATTGGAGCGGAGATAAGGGAAGGGGCGCAAGGAGGGGAGAATGTCGGGGGAAGAGGGGCGGAAAGGGCGGAAGGAGCGGAGGAAGGGGAGGGGTACAAGGGGGTGTTTTGGGTGAGCGGGAGCGGGTATAAGGGCACGGGGAGGGATCGAAGGAGAGATATGAGTGGTGCGGCGGGCACTAGTGCTGATGGGGAGAGGTGGAGGGGGGAAGGGGACGAGGGGGAGGAGGAAGAGGAAGAGGAAGAGGAGGAGGAGGAGGAGGAGGAGGAGGACGAGGAGGACGAGGAGGAGGAGGGGGAAGAGGAGAAGGACGAAGGGGAGGAGGCATGGGAAGAGAACCAGGTTGGGAGGAAGGTCGGTGGGGGTCGGGATCCTAAGCGCCAGGTGTTTCCCCAGGGCCTTTCCGCTCAGGAGAAACAGCAGATTTGGAAGGAATCAAATCTCGTGCTGGACCTGCCGCCCGGGAGGCGCCAATTCGGGCGGCAAGAGCGCGAGGGTAGGGGCATGCAGGATGGATGGGGTGAGGAGAAGGAGAGTGAGTGGGGAGAGAGGGCTCAAGAGAGGAGGCAAGAGAGGCTGAACGTTGATGTGCCTGAGGATGCAGAGCGGTGGCAGCGGAAGATGGTGGAGAAACGAGCCAAGAGGGAGGCGGTGATGGAGAGGGAGTGGGATAGGGACAGGGAATCCGATCAGGGTTTAAGCGGGGGTTCGGGTTTAGGCGGGGTTTCGGGTGAGGACGACCAGGTGGCCGGAGGAGCTGACGTGGCAGCGTTGCGCGTGGCGTGGCTGATTGATGAGCTGGCGGTGCTGCGGCCAGCGGCGATCGTGAAGCTGCTGAACGGGCAGCGGGCGTGGATCGGGATGGAGCATGTGGAAGGGATTGTTAGGGGGCTGCTGGAGCGAGGGGAGACTCTGCGTGCAATCAGGGTGAGTTATGCGGTGATCATGTGTTTAATGCGGTCATGTGTTATGCGGTGATCATGTGTTTAATGCGATCATGTGTTATTGTGTGAAACTGCTGAACGGGCAGCGGGCGTGAATTGTGATGGGGATGGTTTGAGGCGCCTCAAAATCAAGGTGAGTTATGCCGTGATCATGTGTTTAATGCGATGTTATTGTGTGAAACTGCTGAACGGGCAGTGGGCGTGTATCTGGATGGTGATGTGGAAGGGGTGGTGAGAGGGCTCTTGCAGCGAAGGGAGACTCAGCGTGCAATCGGGATGAGTGATGCGGTGTTAGTGTGTGTGTAGTGCGGTGCTGAAGTGTGAGACTGCTGAATGGGCACCTGGCGTGGATGGGGATGGGGCATGTGGAAGGGGCGGTTAGAGGGCGGCTGGAGCGAGGGGAGGTACTACGTGCCATCAGGGTGAGTGATCAGGCTTAGTGTTAAGCCTCTTGATGGGCCACTAAGCAATCTACCTTCTAGGTCGACATACAGATACTAAGCAGTCCCCCTTGCCCTGCTTGATGCGTACCTATTGTCAACCCATCCCCTGCTGGTCCCCTCTCTTTCACCCCTACTCCTCTCCCCCCTTTCCCCCCTTTCCCCCGTCTCCCCCGTCTCCCCCGTCTCACGCCTCTCCCCCCTCTACCCACTTGCCCTTTCCAGGCACTGAATTGGGCCTTTTACTTCTTTTCCTTTGCGCGCCAAACCGCCTTCTACTGCCGGCCAATGCCCTCCGTCTAGGGGTAATCTTCTGCTGCGTCTCCCCCTTCCTGCTTTCCTCCTCCGCCTCCCTCCCCCCCACCCCCCCGCAGTCCATTACCAGTGTCTGAAATGGGCCCACCAGGTGGCCTTCTACTCTCCCATCCCCTCCCTCTATGCCGGCCTATTGCCAGCCCACCCATTGTCCCCCCTGCTCCCCTTCCCTCCTCCCCTCTCCCCGCCCCGCCCTCTCTCTGCAGGCGCTGAAATGGGCACGCCAGGCGGCCTTCTACTGGCCCATTCCTCCCCTCTACGCGGACCTACGTTCAACTCTTCCCCTCTCCTCTTCCCCTCTCCTCTTCCCCTCTCCTCTTCCCCTCTCCTCTTCCTCTCCTTCCTGGCCTGCCTAACGCACCCGTCGTTCTCCCCTGCTCCCCCCCCTCTCTTTTTGAGGCGCCTCAAAACTAGACTCTCTCTGCAGGCGCTGAAATGGCCGCGCCAAGCCGCCTTCTGCTGTCCCATTCCGTCTCTGTATGCTGACCTATTAGATGCGGCGTCGACCAATCAGCACATGCCACGTGCGCAGGAGCTGTTTGACATGATGCTGGCGCACGGCCTGGTGCCTGCGAGAAAGACCCTAGAAGGACCCTAGAACGAGCTACGAGGGGCTCATGCGCATGTTCCTTGGGAGGACCTTCTCTAAGCTCTCCACGTGTCCTCCTCTTCCTCTCCCCCTTCCCCCCCGCCTCCCCTTCCTTCATTCCCGGTTCCCCCATCATCAGGCGCTCAAATGGGCGCGCCAAGCCGCCTTCTACTACCCCATCCCGTCTCTGTATGCTGACCTACTGGACGCGGCGTCGGCCAATCAGCATGTGCCACGTGCGCAGGAGCTGTTTGACATGATGCTGGCACACGGGCTGGTCCCCCCCAGGCGCAACTACGAGGGGCTCATCCGCATGTTCCTGGGGGAGAGCCTCAGGGCGGAAGAGGGGGAGGCGGGGACTGGGGAGGAAGCCGAGGGGAAGGAGAAGAGTAGAGCGGTGGAGAGCGGTGCAGGGGCAGCAGGGGAGGCGCCAGCTGGGATAGGAGCTAAAGGATCCAAAGAAGCTGAAAAGGGCAAAGAACCCAAGGAAGGCAAAGGCGAGGAAGAAGCGAGGGTTTTCAAAGGGTTTAAGGAGCTGAAGAAAGCAGCCAAGGCGGCAACGGAGGTGGAGAAAGCGTGGGAGGTGTACCGGCAGATGAAGCAGTTCGCCGAGCTGGTGCCGTCCCGAGGGATACAGGAGGAGCTATGGGGCGTGCTGACCCAGCGCTGCAGCCAGGGGCGGCACATAGTGAAGGCAGAGGAGTTATTGCGTGATATGGAGGAGAGGGAGGCGGATGAGAGGACGAGGGGGGTTGAGGGGGAGGAGGAGGGAGAGGGGGGTGGGGAAGGGCGTGGGAGTGTGAGTGCGAGTGATCGTGGCAGGCGGGCAGGCGGGGAGAGTGATAATGGTGATGTGGCACAGTCCCGGGTCCGTGCCGCCCGGTATTCCCTCCTGCTGCGCCATGCCAGCATGGCAGGTGATGTGGCACGCACTGACAACCTGCTCTCCCGGATGCGGGCGGCCGGAATACAGCCGAGCGCCGCCGCCCTCGAGGCGCCAGTTGTTGCTTGTGCACTGGCTGGGAAGAAGAGGAGAGATGTGGAGGGAGGGAGGGTGAGGGGAGTAGTAGGGGGAATGAGTGGAGGAGCAGGGGGGGTGAGGGGAGGAGTGAGGCAGTCGAATCTGGCGGAAAGGGCAGAGAGGGGGGTGGAAGAGCTTGAATCGGAAGGTTTTCGGCCCGGGCAGGTGGTGCTGGCAGCGCTGATGGAGGCTTACAACCTAGCCGGGCAGCACGAAAAAGTTTTGCCGGTGTGGCCCAGAGTGCTGGAGGCAGGAGGAAAAGTTTCGAGGCGGGTCAAGGGGGCAGCTGACAGGGATGGGGAAGGGGAGGGGGAAATGGAGGGGGGAGGGGAGGGGGGAGAGGATAAGGAAGGGGATGGGCAGTGGAAGGACCAGAGGGTGATGGTGAGGGCCTATAACGCGTATGTGGAGGGGCTGGCAGGTGTGGGCGAGATGGAGAGGGCGGAAGAGGTGGTGGGGGAGATGGTCAAAAGGGGGGTCGTTGGGCGCCAACTGGGGGAGGCGTATCTGTCACTGCTAAGGGGGTATGTGCAGGAGGGGGGGGGAGGGGGAGGGGGAGAGGAGGGATGGGGGGAAGTGGGAGCAGAAGTTGGGCGGAAAGCACTGGAGGCGGTGGGTGGGTGTTTCCGAGCCATGATCCAGGCTCGGTGGGAGCCGAACCAGGAGGCTTGGAACCTGTACGTCCGGGCGTTGATCCAGGCTGGGGAGAGGGATGCAGCTTTGAAGGTATACAGAGCGATGCAGAGGTGGGAGGATGGGACGCGGAGGAGGGTATTGCAGGAGAGAAGGGAGAGGAACAAGGGAGGGGGGAACAAGGGTAAGGGGAAGAAGAGCGGAAAGGGGGTAGCGACTGGGGATGGGGTGAGTGAGGGGGATATTGAGGGGGCTGGTGGGGCGGTCAGTGAAGCAGAGAGGGTGACGGTGGTCGGGTCAGGTTTGGAGGGAGGTTTGGCGGTGAGGTCCGGGCCGAACCAGGAGACGTTCAACATGATGATAGGCACGTTCGGCGCGGCTGGTGATCTTGACACTGTGAGATCAATCTACACCGACCTTAGAGGTGGCGTGGCTCTTGCTCCTGCTGCTGCTGCCACTGCTGCCACTACTGCCGGTGCGACTACGGCTGACACCGGTGAGAGTGCACTCACTGATTGGGAGGAGCAGCAAGCAAGGGAGGCGGGAGAAGTGGAGGAGGTATCGGATATAGAGGAATCAGTGGTTACCAGCCTTCCCGCAAAGCTTAAAGCCAGGCTCTTCGGCCCGGCCAGGCGCGCAGCAGAGCTCGCCGTGGGCAAGCGGCAGCTCCAAGCCGACGAAACAGCAGGGCTCAAGCTCACCCAGGAGCAGCGGCAGTTGCTGTCAGGGGTCATCCTGGCGGGCGCTGATGTGAGTAGTGATGATGGGGCCATGACGGCGGGGGTGCGGTTTGCAGTGGAGGCGGGGGATGAAAGGAAGGAGAGGGTGCTGGAGCATCTGTATGAGATGTTTGGGGAGTGGGCTGCTGGGCCGATTGTTGAAGAGGAGGTGAGGGTGGAGGGGAACTTGGAGGGAAGTGGAGGGATGGGAGAGAAATGGCGCAGTGGGGAGCAAGAGGAGGAGTGGGGAGAGAGGGAGGAGGGGGAGGAGGGGGAGGAGGGGGAGGAGGGGGAGGAAGTGGAGGGGTACAAGAGGAGGTATATGCAGGAGAAGGAAGGGGAATGGCTGGCTGGAGATGACCCCAGTGGGGCTGAGAGGGCTAGCAGCAGCAGCAGCAGCACGGAGGCCAGAACAATGCGAGTGCTGACTTTTAGCACAGTGCCGCACCCCTCGCTGTGCTTCTACCTGCACCAGTACCGCCCTGAGAAGCAGGGCGGGCGTGCTGCCGTCCCTCGCCTCGTGCACAAGTGGCTCACGCCCCGCGCCCTCGCGTACTGGTATATGTACGCCGGCCAACGCGGCCAACCGAGTCAACGCAGTCAACGTGGCAGCAGCAGCAGCAGTTCTAGTGATGTTGGAAGAACAGCTGCAGAGGGTTCTATCATTCTGGATGCAGGGATGTACGAGGCCAAAGAGGTGGCTCTTATAGTGAAGGCGCTTAAAGCGAGGACGATCGACTGTGCCCAGAGCAAGAGGGGCAAGGGCAGCAAGGGGCAGAGAGCTGTCAGGTTCTCGGGCCCCTCGGCCCAATTCCTCTGGAAATTCATGGAGCCTTTTGTTCTGGAGGAGATGAAGGAGGAGTTGAATCCGGTGATAAGGGGTTCAAGTGGGGGAGGGGGTGGAGAGAGAGGAGGGGGAAGGGGAGGAGGGAGAGTGGGGTTGGGGAAGTTCACGGTGGGGGAGAGAGGGGAGGTGGTGGGAGAGGAGAGGTTTGTGGGTGGGGCAAAGGGCAGCCCGAACGAGGAGGCACGGGAGAGCGAGGAGGACCGGCGAGAGGGTTGGGTGAATCTGGCTCGAGCATCCAAGTGGGTGGAGTTTAGTTCTTTTGTGTAGGGTGAGGCGCCAAGTGCTCTTGCTAAGTCTGGCTCCCACATTTTTTTAAAATGACGTATGCTGATGTGATGGCAGCCGTCTTGGGTTTGGGGTTGTGGCTCGTAAGTTTGTTGTGATGGTATGCAAGCAGGGCTGTCGTTATCATGGTATTTTACCCTGATTCCCTGATTTCACAAGGTATTTTTTTGGCCAACCCTTAATTTTCAGGGTTGGGTTTTTTTTTACCCTAACCTCTTCAGGGTTGTATGTCTGTGAACACTTAGAAATTCAGGGTTTGCGTTATCCCAAAACTGTGTTTTCAGGGAGTAACACGTACGAACCCTTAATGCGACATCCATGCGGACCCTGAGTTTCGGCGAAATGGCCCCCTTACGCGTGACGGGTCCCAGTCCAATGAATACGACCAGCACGCGTCACGTGGAGAATCTGCACTTGGCAACATTCCCGCCGTGTACACGCTGTATGTTGCCATTTCAGTAACATTTCCAACCGTTAAGTGTGGGATGGTGCACTCCGTCATGCCCCAGCCTGGCGTTCGTAACTGAGCACGCAGCAGACAAGGACAGAATATGCTGAGCGCTGCAATGTCAGCCTCTGTATGACATCACAGAGCCAATCATCTCTATGCATACGATGCCAGCACAGGTGCGTCCCGCCGTTGACGGTATCGCCATGGCGATGCAGGATCGTGGATAGGTTATGCACCGTCCATGAAAAGCGAAATCTGGGGTTTCTTGGTCCCCTTCCCATCTTCTTCACCAGCTTCTCCTCCAACCCAGTTTCCTCCTTTACTTCACATCGCAGATACGAGATGCTCCATTCTACTTTCTCGTCCACTTTCGTCGCGCCTAGTTCTCGTTTCGATCATATCCGCCGCTACTCGCAATGGCGGATGTAGGAGAGTCTGGTGAGTCTCCCGCCGCCGATGATGGTTCTGGACTAGGTAGGGACCCCCTCGTGGAGGTCCGTAGATCCGCTCTAGATATCTTGCGGTCTCCCACCGCAGTCGCAACACCATCACAACCCGTATCTACTCCCGCTCCCTACGTACCTCCGCCCATTGTCGCTTCATCTAGCCGGGGCCCTTGGGTTCCACACTGCAAGACAGCCACGACTGTGCGTTACACGGTCGAGTGTGCTTCCACGATTTCATATGGGAAAAAAGCACGCATCGGGAAGCACACCCAGAGCACGATAGTCCTCGGCGAGAAGCTATGTCGACAGTCGCCGCCTCGCACGTCGCCTGAACCTTAGGCCCCTGCTATTCCAGAACCCGAGCCGCCGAAGCTCTCGAAGAAAGAACTCATCGAGCAGAAGTATCTCATGGCTGAGCACAAGTATAAGACCAGCAGGCTTCCATTTTTCCCTTGGCTTCTGCTAACGAAAACGAAAGACGGTTACCCGGCGTTGAAGTGCAGTGTGTGCAAGGCTTTCGGCAAAGAGACAACACCGTACTCCAACAGCCGCGACGGGGCACGTGACCTACAGACGCAAGCGATGCGGTTCCACGAACACACGACAGCCCACGAAGTAGCAGTCAAGCGTCAGATGGAGATCGCCGAAGACATCGCCAGCACCAAGAGGCGCATGGAGAATTACGCGCGGACTGACATTGAGTGGAAGCACGTCATGAGGCTCCTACATTGTGTCAACTTCCTGTGCAAGTGTGATGCACCCATCAGCATGTACCCGAGGCTACTCCGCTTCATGGCCAAGCAGGAGACCCCAGACATTCCGCTGCATTCTTACGGAGTCTACCTGACACGGTAATGCACTCATTCCAAAAACACCATATCCTTCATTTATTTAGTAGGTCTAACAACCTCCCTGTTTCACTCACAACATACCACAGCGCGTATTCAATGTGCCTCACTTTTGTCATTTAGCGTAAAGACATGACACATTTTATCCACTTTACATGCCGAAGCATTTTCTGCTTGTTTTCACTTTACAAACCAAAATGAAACAGAACCTTCATCCCATTTGTCCCGTGATTCTCATAGAATATAGCCCCCCGTCGCAATTCCAGCGGCTGGGGCAGGATCCGTGGGATCAGACGGCTGGGAGCAGCTGGGCAATTTCAGATGCGAAAGATCAAACGGTGGGGAGGCGTTCTTCGGGTGATCGAACGGCGGAGGGTGATCGCAGGGAGATCGATGGGGCAGGGACGAGCAGGATGGGAGGTGGGAGCGAGTGGGAGAAGAGGAGGGAAGGAGGGAGGGATTGGGAAAACCGGAGAGATGGGGAGAAACGGAAGGAAGGAGGTAGGGATTGGGGGAATAATAGAGAGTGGGAGAACAGAGGTGGGGGTGATAGAGAGTTACAGAGAGGGAGGGGAGGAGGGAGGGGAGAAGGGAGAGGAGGAGGGAGAGGAGGAGGGAGAGGGTGGGAGAGTAGGAGAGGCGGTGATCGGGAGTGGGGAAACAGGGGAGGAGCGAGGGAGTCGGAGCAGGGGCTGGAAGGGGTAAGGGAGTGGGGGAAGAGGAGAGAGTGGGGGGATAGAAACAGGGGTGGTAGAGAATGGGGAAGCAGAGAGGAGGGCGGCAGAGAGAGGGGGGGCAGGAGCGGAGGTGGTCGAGAGTGGGAGACGAGGGGCGGAGCGCGATCGTGGGAGCAGCGGGGGTCGTGGAGCAGTAGAGAGCGCGAGATGTTCAAGCGGGGGGGGGGGAGCACAGAGGGACCGCACGATGGTGGCAGTAGCTTTGGCAGTCAGGGCGATCGCCGCAGCAGCTTTGAAAGAAGCAGGGGCGATCACGAGAAAAGCTTCAGCAGATATGGCGACGATAGCGCGAGCAGTGGCAGGGGAGGTTGGGGGGACAGAGGGAGCAGGGGAGGGAGGGGAGGCGGAGGGGGGAGGGGGACAGGGGGAGCAGGGGGGCAGGGGGAGCTAGGGGGACAGGGGGAGCAGTGGGGGGAGTGGCAGCTGGGGGAACAGGGGGGGAGGGGGCGCGGAGGGGGGAGGGGACGCGGCGGGGGTATGGGGATCAGAGGGTCCTGCGGATATGGGGAAAGTATTGGGGAGAGCAGCAGGGGGAGTGGCGGCGCACTAGGCGCGCGGAGAAATGGATGGGCGGAGAGAGAAACGGGGATAACATCCGCCCTGCAGGGAGAAGGATGGGGGGAGATTGGAGCGGAGATAAGGGAAGGGGCGCAAGGAGGGGAGAATGTCGGGGGAAGAGGGGCGGAAAGGGCGGCGGCCAGCGGCGATCGTGAAGCTGCTGAACGGGCAGCGGGCGTGGATCGGGATGGAGCATGTGGAAGGGTTTAGGGTTTAGGGTTTAGGGGTTTCGGGTTTAGGGTTCCTTCCCGTTTCCCCCATCATCAGGAGCTCAAATGGGCGCGCCAAGCCGCCTTCTACTATCCCATCCAGTTTGTCACAGGATCGAATGACTCGAGGAAAGATTGCACTATCGATCAGTACAAGGCGCTTTTATTCTTCCAAAGTACATCAGGTAACCAGGTTTATCTTATCCTAAGGGAATAGACCCTTCTAGAAGATAGAATCACCCTGCGTATAGCCACACGAGGCTATTGGCTATAAGGGATTATGGCAGGATTACGCTAGATAGAGCGCACCAATACATCCCAAGACTGGTCGGTGATATAATTATAATGACAGGATAAACCAAAGGATAATGCAAAAGGAGGAATCGGAAACCAAATGAGATGAGATAAATACCAAATGAAAGAGGATAAAAAGAGGAATGAAATAGAAAGGAAATATGGAAAAGGACCAGTGGTGTAACGGGATCGTACTCTCACACCGTCTCTCTATGCCGACCTATTAGACGCAGCATCAGCCAATCAGCACGTGCCGCGTGCGTAGGAGCTGTTTGACATGATGCTGGCACACGGGCTGGTCCCCCCCAGGCGCAACTACGAGGGGCTCATCCGCATGTTCCTGGGGGAGAGCCTCAGGGCGGAAGAGGGGGAGGCGGGGACTGAGGAGGAAGCCGAGGGGAAGGAGAAGAGTAGAGCGGTGGAGAGCTGTGCAGGGGCAGCAGGGGAGGCACCAGCTGGGATAGGAGCTAAAGGATCCAAAGAAGCTAAAAAGGGCAAAGAACCCAAGGAAGGCAAAGGCGAGGAAGAAGCGAGGGTTTTCAAAGGGTTTAAGGAGCTGAAGAAAGCAGCCAAGGCGGCAACGGAGGTGGAGAAAGCGTGGGAGGTGTACCGGCAGATGAAGCAGTTCGCCGAGCTGGTGCCGTCCCGAGGGATACAGGAGGAGCTATGGGGCGTGCTGACCCAGCGCTGCAGCCAGGGGCGGCACATAGTGAAGGCAGATGAGTTATTGCGTGACATGGAGGAGAGGGAGGCGGATGAGAGGACGAGGGGGTTTGAGGGGGAGGAGGAGGGAGAGCGGGGTGGGGATGGGCGTGGGAGTGTGAATACGAGTGCTGGTAGAAGGCGGGCAGGCGGGGAGAATGATAATGGTGAAACACAGTCCCGGGTCCGTGCCGCCTGGTATTCACTCCTGCTGCGCCATGCCAGCATGGCAGGTGACGTGGCACGCACTGACAACCTGCTCTCCCGGATGCGGGCGGTTGGAATACAGCCGAGCGCCGCTGCCCTCGAGGCGCCAGTTGTTCCTTGCGCACTGGCTGGGAAGAAGAGGAGAGGTGTGGAGGGAGGGGGGGTGAGGGGAGTAGTAAGGGGGGTGAGTGGAGGATTAGGGGGAGTGAGGGGAGGAGTGAGGCAAACAAATCTGGCGAATAGGGCAGAGAGGGGGGTAGAAAAGCTTGAATCGGAAGGCTTTCGGCCCGGGCAGGTGGTGCTGGCAGCGCTGATGGAGGCTTACAACACGAAAAAGTTTTGCCGGTGTGGCCCAGAGTGGTGGAGGCAGGCAAAAAAGTTTCGAGGCGGGTCAAGGGCGCAGCTGACAGGGATGGGGAAGGGGAGGGGGAAATGGAGGGGGAGGGGAGGGGGGAGAGGATAAGGAAGGGGATGGGCAGTGGAAGGACAAGAGGGTGAGGGTGAGGGCCTATAACGCGTATGTGGAGGGGCTGGCAGGTGTGGGCGAGATGGAGAGGGCGGAAGAGGTGGTGGGGGAGATGGTCAAAAGGGGGGTCGTTGGGCGCCAACTGGGGGAGGCGTATCTGTCACTGCTATGGGGGTATGTGCAGGAGGGAGGGGGGGGGGAGGGGGAGAGGAGGGATGGGGGAAAGTGGGAGCAGAATTTGGGCGCAAAGCACTGGAGGCGGTGGGTGGGTGTTTCCGAGCCATGATCCAGGCTCGGTGGGAGCCGAACCAGGAGGCTTGGAACCTGTACGTCCGGGCGTTGATCCAGGCTGGGGAGAGGGGTGCAGCTTTGAAGGTATACAGAGTGATGCACAGGTGGGAGGATGGGACGCGGAGGAGGGTATTGCAGGAGTGAAGGGAGAGGAACAAGGGAGGGGGAAACAAGGGTAAGGGGAAGAAGAGCGGGGAGGGGGTGGCGACTGGGGATGGGGTGAGTGAGGGGGATAGTGAGGGGGCTGGTGGGGGGGTCAGTGAAGCAGAGAGGGTGACGGTGGTCGGGTCAGGTTTGGAGGGAGGTTTGGCGGTGAGGTCCGGGCCGAACCAGGAGACGTTCAACATGATGATAGGCACGTTCGGCGCGGTTGGTCATCTTGACACTGTGAGATCAATCTACACCGACCTGAGAGGTGGCGTGGCTCTTGCTCCTGCTGCTGCTGCCACTGCTGCCATTACTGCCGGTGCGACTACGGCTGAGACCGGTGAGAGTGCACTCACTGATTGGGAGGAGCAGCAAGCAAGGGAGGTGGGAGAAGTGGAGGAGGTATCGGATAAAGAGGAATCAGTGGTTACCAGCCTTCCCGCAAAGCTTAAAGCCAGGCTCTTCAGCCCGACCAAGCGCGCAGCAGAGCTCGCCGTGGGCAAGCGGCAGCTCCAAGCCGACGAAACAGCAGGGCTCAAGCTCACCCAGGAGCAGCGGCAGTTGCTGTCAGGGGTCATCCTGGCGGGCGCTGATGTGAGTAGTGATGATGGGGCCATGACGGCGGGGGTGCGGTTTGCAGTGGAGGCGGGGGATGAAAGGAAGGAGAGGGTGCTGGAGCATCTGTATGAGATGTTTGGGGAGTGGGCTGCTGGGCCGATTGTTGAAGAGGAGGTGAGGGTGGAGGGGAACTTGGAGGGGAGTGGAGGGATGGGAGAGAAATGGCGCAGTGGGGAGCAAGAGGAGGGGGGAGAGAGGGAGGAGGGGGAGGAGGGGGAGGAGGGGGAGGAGGGGGAGGAGGGGGAGGAAATGGAGGGGTACAAGAGGAGGTATATGCAGGAGCAGGAAGGGGAATGGCTGGCTGGAGATGATCCCAGTGGGGCCGAGAGGGCTAGCAGCAGCAGCAGCATGGAGGCCTGGTCATTGCGAGTGCTGACGTTTAGCACAGTGCCGCACCCCTCGCTGTGCTTCTACTTGCACCAGTACCGCCCTGAGAAGCAGGGCGGGCGTGCTGCCTTCCCTCGCCTCGTGCACAAGTGGCTCACGCCCCGCGCCCTCGCGTATTGGTACATGTACGCTGGCCAACGCGTCCAACCGAGTCAACGCAGTCAACACGGCAGCAGCAGCAGCAGTTCTAGTGATGTTGGAAGAGCAGCTGCAGAGGGTTCTATCATTCTGGATGCAGGGATGTGCGAGGCCAAAGAGGGTTCTTAAAGCGAGGACGATCGACTGTGCCCAGAGCAAGAGGGGCAAGAGCAGCAAGGGGCAGAGAGCTGTCAGGTTCTCGGGCCCCTCGGCCCAATTCCTCTGGAAATTCATGGAGCCTTTTGTTCTCGAGGAGATGAAGGAGGAGTTGAATCCGGTGATAAGGGGTTCAAGTGGGGGAGGGGGTGGAGAGAGAGGATGGGGAAGGGGAGGAGGGAGAGTGGGGTTGGGGAAGTTCACGGTGGGGAGAGAGGGGAGGTGGTGGGAGAGGAGAGGTTTGTGGGCAGGGCAAAGGGCGGCCCGAACGAGGAGGCACGGGAGAGCGAGGAAGACCGGCGAGAGGGTTGGGTGAATCTCGCGTGGGCAGCGAAGGTGAAGTAGGTGGAGGTTAGTTCTTTCGTGTAGGGTGCAGTGCCAAGTGTTCTAACTACCGTAAATCTTGCTCCCACGTTTGTTTTCTAATGGCGTATGCTGATGGCTGGCAGACGTTTTGGGTTTGGGGGTTGTGGCTCGTAAGTTAGTATGATGCCATGTGTTGGGCTGAGAAAAGCCCTTAGGATCTTTCCAGAGACGAACTCCCACTTGAACACGGTGTTGGAGTAGTGCAACGGAAGTGTTGAGTAGTTGAACCCTTGCACTAGTATGTGAGAGCAAGTAATTGATTAAAAGAAGCAAGCATACAGGAATATATAGAAAATAGGAAATAAAGCAGTTGTAGAATACTGTTGAATAAAAGGTTATCGAGTCGCACAGCGACTCGATCGTTGGTTCGATTACCACCTTTGCAGTCGCAACCTCCGGTTGCAACCCTTCGAGTCCCTTCGTCCTTTCGTGTTCTTTCGTCCAACCTCCTCGTGTAACCTCCGTTGACGCATGTACTCGATACGACTTTTCTTCGAGTGTAGTGTTACACTTCAGAAACGCTCAAGTCTTTGAGTTGTTTCCAACCAGGCCCTGAGAGATCAACCTTAAAGCTCTAGTTAGCTTTATTTCAATGGCTGTTTTTTTCTGTTGTCTATGATTTTCCAGTGCTTGGAAACTGCCCATTGAGACTTATTTCTCAACAACAGGTCCCTCAAAAGACTTTGTATCATTCGCACTAGCCAATGCCAAGATATGGCCTAGACCCGAAACCCAAATCAGCCTAAAAAGGCTGATACCTCAAGGCCTGTTTCCAACACTCCCTTTCGTTTCTAGAGTGCTGAAGTGTCCAGATTTGGTGACGTTTATCCGCCCGGTCAGCAGCATGCAGTAATCGAACTTTGACTTCGCCAGTTTCTTCGTCAGGTAATCTGCAGCCATTTCTGTTGTGAGGCAGTAACTGAGTTGAAGTCTCCCCTTCGCGATTTCATCCTTGACGAAGAAATACCGCCGGGCGATGTGCTTGGTTCGGTTGGCGAACCCGTTTTTGTTCGCGATTTTGATCGCGGATTGGTTGTCGCAGAATAACGAGAAGGCGGGCATGGTTGTAATTTTTGCTTCCTCGAGCAGCTCCCATAGGTAAAGTCCATCTTTGGTTGCAGAGCTGAGAGCGATGTATTCCCTTCAGCCGAGGATAGAGCAATTAGTTCTTGCTTGCTCGATTGCCAGGAAATAGTCCCGATAGGCTCTACTCGGTAGATGTAGCCCGTTCAGGAGCAACGATTCTCCCTATCTCCCGCATGGTCGGCGTCGACATAGCCGAGTAGCTGTACGGACGATGGCGTTATTTTGCTGTAGGTATGTCCGGTCGTCGGCGTAGAGACGAAGTAGAGCAGTGCCCGATTTAGCTTCTCGAGATCCTTTTGCTCCGGCTGCTTCAGGTGTGTCGCCAGTTGGCTCGCGCTATAGGACAGATCCGGTTGGCAGGTTACTGCTGCGAACAGTAGACAGCCGAGCTTCTGTTGATACTCCTGGATTTGTTTCGCGGGGAGCTTTGCGCAGGTTTTGTTGTTGTTCCCGTAGCGATAGGGAGTCGCGACTGCGACTGGCGTTAGGCCGAATTTTTCGCGACAACGCCTACGTATTTTCCGGCGTGTAGGTAGAACGCCGAGCCGTCTTCGACGATGTTTAGACCTAGGTACTGGCTCACGGTGTTTGACACCGTGAGTGTTAAGTCACTCCTCAGCTCCCCTTCGAACCAGTTGGCGACGTCGGTAGTGGAGCCGACGTAGAGTAGATCATCGGCATAGACGATGAGTAGGACGAAATCCCCCCCCTTCTGTAGTCGGTACATGCCTTGATCGTGCGGCAGCTGCAGAAAACGGATTCTGACAAGGCGGTCGTGAAGGTGCTGCTGCCAGAGCCGCGGGGCTTGTTTAATTCCGTAGAGGGATTTCACCAACAGGCACACCTTTGTGGGATCGTCGATGAATCCGTGGGGCTGCTCGACGAAGATTTCGGCGTCCACAGGTGCATACAGGAAGGCGTTGGCGACATCGATCTGGCGCAGTGGTAGCTTTTTTGTGGCCGCGACAGTGAGCAATATGCGCAGGGAAGTATGTCAGGAGACTGGGGCGAATGTCTCCGTGTAATCAGTTCCATATCGCTGGTCCAATCCTCGTACGACCCAGCGAGCCTTGAAACGGTCGATGGAGCCGTCCGCATTAGTCTTGATGCGGTACACCCATTTCCCCGAGAGCACATTCTTCCCGTTGGTTTTTGTTGCAGGTACCAGCTTCCACGTATTTCGGTCTTGCAGGGCCTTTAGTTCCTTCTCCATTGCTTCCTTCCATTTCGCCTTGTGTTCCCCCCCTAGAGCCTGCGACAGAGTCGATGGCTCGCGCGGCGACGGCGGTGGTGGGCTCTGGACGACGACCCATAGTCCGAGTATCTGCAGGCCCGTGGGTGTGTGTCGAGGGGAATTGTCATTCTCGGGATAAGCTGCTTCGTCACCGTCTTCGGGGTCTGGTAAGAATTTGGGTCCGATGCGTTCAGAGATATTTGTGTCGACCGGTTGAGGTGTAGTGTAACCTTGGTCAGCGAAGTGGTAATAAATGTCGAGGTTGTTACTATCGAGAGGGTTGTCGTCGTCGAGTGGAACGGGCACGGAGCAGTGAGGGAGTGGTCCGGCAGCTTCCGAGGCTTCAGGTACATCTTCTTCTGCTGCGTCAACTTCGGAAGCACAGTCGGCGAAGGACCGATGGCCTTCGAAGCCGTCGGTGGGGTCGTTTGTGTTGGCGATGTTGTCCATGTAATGTTGCAGCGTCAGTCGCTCGTAGAAGATTACATCACGTGAGGCCACGGTGGTTTTGTCATGAATGTCAAGAAGTTTCCATGCTTGGAAATATTTTGCGATGCCGAGATGTAGTCCCCACCGTGCTCGTTGAGAGAACCGACCTGCTCGGTGTGTGTGGGGTATGTACTGTACCATGCAGCCGAAGACTCGAAGTAATTTTGTGCTGCCCTGTTTTCCTGTCCACAGCAGGTGCGGTGATGCGCTGTTGGGAAGTGATGACGAGGACAGCAAATTGTGCAGGTGGATTGCATGCGTCATCGCGTCAGGCCAAAGCATATTGGCCAGTCTCATCCCCAGGAGCAGCTTCCGCATCATCGTCTGCAAGGTTCTGTTCATCCTTTCTACGACCCCCTACTGCTGGTGAGCTTAGGGCAGAGACACCAGGCGTCTGATGCCTCTTTCTGCCCAGTAGTTACTGAATCGTTGTGACTGGTATTCCAGTGCCCCGTCTGACTGGAAACTCTTGAGTTGCGTCCCTGACTCTCGTTCAGCGATGGGGAGCCATGTCGTAAATGCTTCGAACACTTGATCACGTGTCTTGAGGTTGTAGTGCCAGACGTATCGTGTTGCTGCGTCGATGAACGTGATGACATAGTTGTACTCTGCTTCACTATCGTCTCGAGGCATATTTAAGATGTCGCTGTAGACTTTTTCCATCGGTGCGTATGCAGATGCGCTTGGATTGTGGTGCGACGGAAAAGGTTGATGGGGAAGATCAGCTTCGGGACACGTGAAGCACCGTGCACGGGGTCATCGAAGCTCCTGCCCGCTCGTTGTGAGAAGGGCGTCCTTTTCTAAAACTCCGGCTTGTATGGTTTGTAGTACTGTACTGTTTGCAGGGTGTCCGAGGCGTTGATGCCAGATGTCGTCGGGAGCGCGATGGCCGGGTGAGCGCTGGTACATGTCGGCGTTGGAGAAGAACGCGACGACCGTGGCGGGACTGCGGCAGACTCCTCGGGTGATGGGCATGAGTTGATCTGCTTCGGATGGCGGTCCTCGGATTGCTGGTGATGGCCCACGGCTTGGTCCTGTTGTTGTTGCTACAGGTGATGTCGAGGAAGGTGTACTTGTTGGTACTTATCGTTCTTGTCGGATGACTGCTAATGCTCGTGTTCTCTCTGCTGCAGGGATGGTGTTGGAATACCAGAAGCCGTCTGGAGTAAAGTCGGGGTCAAGATCCGGCGGGTGCGTCCAGGCGGCAAACAAGACGATGCTATCGCTGTCAGCAGTACCGCGGCCGGGGATGAAATCCAGCACGAAGACGCCAGACTTCAAGAGAGCGCGACCGATGAAGAGGCCGCCCTTCCCGTGGTAAAGGCGAAGCTCGTTGTCGTCCGAGTCACATTCCAGGTGAATCCCCTTCGCCATGAACTGGCTGACGCTTAGTAGATTGTATCCTAAGTTGTCGACGATGAGAAATTTGTTGCGTTGTAGTATGACGTTTGTCTCCATTGACTGAAGCTGAACGACGCCTTGTCTGTTTGTTTTCAGGTTCTCGTTGTTGGTGACGGTGATGATGACATCGCGGTTGAGACGTCACTCTCGTTGCACGAAGCGCCCGGAAGAACACATATGTTGGCCGCAGCAACTGTCCAAGAACCAGGTGTTTCGCCCGGTGGGTTCGGCGTTGGCGACTGCAGCGTACGTCGGGTTGACCTGGAGACCTTGTGAACGTGGTGGCGGCAGTTCTTCTTCATCTAGAGCGTAAGTGGGTGGTGACTCGGGTCTGCAGCTGTCGATCCGTACCATGCAGTTGATGTTTGGTGTGTCTCGTGCAGGTGTAGAGGAGCGGCTTGGCGGATTCTCTTAAGTGGAGGCGACTTGCGGATCTGCTGAACGATAAACTCGAGGGCGCGTGCAGTTAACCTTGGAGTGCCCGGATGTCTGACAGTTGTGGCAAAACGGCGGCATAATGGTGAGTCCTCTGGTATTGTGTCGGTTCTGCTTATCACGTCGGTTGTAGTTGTTGTCATTTCTTCGTTGAGTATAGAAGACTAACGATTGCTGCTTGTTTCTTGGTTGTCTTTCTTCAAACAGGTCTATCTCCTGTTGTTCAGCATGAAGCTCGGCGCAGAGGTGCATCTCGGAAATTCGTCTGTGGGCGCGAAGAAGCGAGCGCGTGGTTCTCCATTCTGGCCCGAGCCCGGCGAGGACAAGTGTCACGAAGCTTTCTTCAGTGATTGTACCCCCGCACCGAAGCAGGCGGTCGCGGAGTGTCTGGCAGCGACTCATATACTGCATCACCTTTTCCCCGGTCTTCATTTGTATTGTGGTCAACTGCTGCATGAGTCTGCTTTGTGTTACGCTGTCGTTTGCTTGATAGAGACACCTCAGATGATGCCATGCGAGTTCCGCGGAGTTTCCGTAGCTCCGATACGTTATGATGCTCTGTTGCTCTTGTGGTGACAGATTTCGCAGGAGAACTGTGTACGCTAGCAGCGATTGATAAGTGAAGATTTCCTGCTCCTTTGCAGTGCCATTGCTTGGAAATGGCAAGGACTCGTTGAAGTATCCCAGGAGGTGCGCGGCCTCCATCAGCAGCTCGAACTCAAAACTCCAGGTAAAGAAGTCGTCCCGTTGAACGGTGAGGATGTCTGCAGTTTGATCACGTGTGAAAACTGCGCCTGGAGACTCAATATCTCGTTTGGTGTCTGTTGTGATGCAGCTGTTGTCGGTTGAGCACGGGGCGGCATGAACTCGAATGTCCCCGGTGAAGAGTGATAAGGCGCAAAGGTAGGCGCATGATTGTGCCGCCCGAATGATGAGTTGTTGAGGCTCATTGGCGCTAATCCCATGTTCCCCCCTTTGCTCTGTGTTGAATGCGCAAGTGTCCTCGTCTGTTGCTGTTGGTCAAAGTGCGACATGAAGCCGAAGAACCTTTCCATAAGGTTCGGGTCCACGCTTGAAGAGGGTGAAGGGGTCACCATTTCTGGTACCCTCCCTGTGTTTCTTGAGCAGCGCCGGTCTCAGTTTGTAGTCCTGAAGTGTGTAGTCCAGAGTTGCTGGGTTGAGTGTCTTGGGCGTTGGGTGAGCCCGTATAAGACTTCTTGCCCTTGTTGTCCATGATTTGTAATCGATGAATCTCTTGATGTGCTTGACTGTAGGTTGAGCGTTGTTGCTGGGAGTTTGGTCTCTGACCAGCTCTGAGACCATGTTGGGCTGAGAAAAGCCCTGAGGATCTTTCTGGAGACTAAGTCCCATTTGAACACGGTGTTCGAGTAGTGCAGCGGAAGTGTTGAGTAGTTGAACCCTTGCACTAGTATGTGAGAGCAAGTAATTGATTAAAAGAATCAAGCATACATAAATATATAGAAAATAGGAAATAAACCAGTTCTAGTTGCAGAATAAAGTTGAATAAACGGTTATCGAGTCACACGGCGACTCGATCGTTGGTTCGGTTACCACCTTTGCAATCGCAACGGTTAGTCGCAACCCCCGGTTGCAACCCTTCGAGCCCCTTCGTCCTTTCGTGTTCTTTTGTCCAACCTCCTCGTGTAACCTCCATTGACTCATGTACTCGATACGAATTTTCTTCGAGTGTAGTGTTACACTTCAGAAACGCCATGCAAGGAAATTGCAAGCCGCCAAGAAAGACACACTGCTTATTGATGGGTGATGATGATGATAAAGAAATAGGGGCGTCAGGGTGGTGACATGTTCTCTATCGGTATGTGGAAGTTCCCCACCCCGTGACGGTTTCAGCGGTGAGGAGTTTGTTATAAGGAGTACTTCTGGTGCTGTGGGACAGCAGCAGAACATATGACTGCTTGCTTGCGTCGGGAGTCGGGGACGATGTCGTCGCGTTTCCGGACAACATAAACCGTAGATGGAGATACTTACTGCGTGACACATCCGATCGACCATTGAGAAGCAGGTCCGATGCGTCACCATTTCCTTATTTCGCGGTGTGATTTGTCTGTCTGGTCTGGACTGCACATGACTGACTGCATTGCATTTCACTGCCACTGTACGTGTACAGTGGGTCCTACAGTTTCGCCGAATTCGGTTTCACGCACAGCCCGCACGCGTATTCGTCGCCAAAAGCGTGTCATCAGATCGTGGAGCATCGCCAAACCACTCGCGACCAAATCGTGCCCAATCAGCAGCAGCTAATGAAATTTCAGAGACCAGTTCCACACCAAACGCTGTCACATTTGCCGCCACCCCTAGGGTTGTAAAACTTTGGCACTTAGCCCAGTCCCAGTTGGAATTTACAGGACCGTCAACAATCCCCTCCCATCCATCAGTCACCTCCCTGCCCACCCGCGTCGCTGTAAGAAAGCGCGTCACATTCAGTTCCTCTCTCGTGTGGTGATGTCTAGTAACATTTTGTGACGTTGGGGGATGTCTCAAGAAGGTACGGTATGGATTTCGTTGCTTACAGAACAGTTTAAGTGTAACAATTATCGGTTGCGCGACCTCCCGAACCGACACTTCAGACAACCCCTATTCCTCGACTGGCCTGGTTTCCCGCAATCTTGGCAACCTAGCCTCACCTACGTATTTCTTCAAAGCCCTTCGATTGGTTTTCGCGTTCCGTCCGGAAACTGTGTCGAGGACGGCGGTTCGGTGGCGATAGGCTTGATTTCATCGACCTTGTCGCTTCTCCCCGTTTCTCCTCTCCCGCTCTCCCCTCACACAGCTTCTACAAGCACACCACCCGGCTTATCGTCTCATTCCCAGGCCAGGTCCCTCGTTCCTCGAATTCATTTCTCGTTTTTTGTTTTTGTTTTTTTTCCTCGGTTTTATCCTTCCTTTCGTTCTCCACGATTTGTGTTCCTCGTTCTAACAAGAGTGCGTGTCCTCGCACCGCTGCTTCGCCCTCGTGCATCCACGTAGTACAGCCGTGCCCATTCATTTGTACTCAGCTCAGCTAAGTCACGTCAGGCTGACGTCACGCTAGTGTATCCAAGTGGAATAGTTGTCCAAAGGAGCGACTCTCCCGGACCCCCTCTCTGCCTACGTCGCTGACGTCGCGCAGTGCTCAGCATAGCATGATATCCTGAGCCCCGTTCTTGTGGAGTTGCGACGCTTTCTCCGACAACTCCTGGCGTACCGCCCGCTCATCCTCTCTCCTTCCCGCCGCCATAGTAGTAGTATCCATAGTATGATGGCTAGTATCATGGAGGCCGGCGACTCGCTATGGGGCTCGCCCCAGTTATGGGGCTCGCTGGCGGTCCTCCTCGCGTCGTCGGCGCTCTTGCTGCTGCTGCATCGCGTCGTCTGGCTTCCCTACCGCCTCGTTCTCGCATGCAAGCGACAAGGCATTCCGTTCCTCCCGTTCCGGCCGCTCATTGGTCAGATCCCCGAGCTACAGTCGCAGTGGCAGGTGAAAGATCCGATCTCGCCTGCCACGTCAGCACCGCTCGGACCGGAAACGGTCACTCCGCTGCTGTGCGGCTGGATCGCGCGGTTCGGGACGGTGTTTGGATTCGCTGCCGGCCCGCAACCGGCGCTGGTGCTCGCAGATCCGGATCTGGTGCAGCAGGTGCTGATCGGACGGTCGGGATGCTTCCAGAAGATGCCGGCCGTGCAACGCGCGCTGAGCTTCGTGGGAGACGGCTTGCCGTTTGTTGACGGCGAGGAGTGGCTGCGGCAGCGCAAGGCCGTCAACCCGTCGTTCAGCCACGGCGCCATCAAGGTACGACGGTCGAGACGATGACGCAGATTGCGCAGAACGCCTCTCCTCGCTCGCTGCTCCCCACTCCTCCCTCCCGCCCTTCCCTCATCTTGATTCCCGCCTACCGACAACCCGTCGTTCAGCCATGGCGCCATCAAGGTGCGACGATTGATCGAGCTCCCCGCTCCTTCCACCCGCTTCTCGCTTCCCGCTTCCCCGCTTCCCGCTCCTCCCCCCCGCTTCCCGCTCCGCGCTCCGCGCTCCGGCACAACCCGTCGTTCAGCCATGGCGCTATCAAGGTGCGAGTCGTAGACGGTCGAGCTGAGCGGGGGGCCTTCAAACGATCGGATGCTTCGGAAGGCCGCGCCGGCAGACCCACACGCCACGCGCCCTTTCGAAGGACGCGCCGGCAGACCCACACGCCACGCGCCCTTTCGAAGGACGCGCCGGCAGACCCACACGCCACGCGCCCCTCGCCACGCGCTCCTCTCCACCTGCTTCCCGCTCCCTGCTCCCGCTCCCTGCTCCCGCTTCCGCTCCCCGCTCACCGATTCCCCCGCCCCGATCCCCCCTCCGCCCCCCTTCCCTCCAGCACGCGCTGTCGGTGATGAACCGCCAGGCGCGCAAGGGCGTCGCGCGGCTGCTGCAGCGAATGGCGCGCGCAGGCGACGACTCGAGCGGCGGAAATGCAGGCCGCGAGGAGCAAGGACGTGAGATGGCAGCGCGCGATGCGGAAGCGCGGGAGGCGCAAGGGCGGGAGGCGCAAGGGCGGGAGGTGGAGATTCAGGAGGTGCTGTTCGCGGTGACCCTCGACGTGATCGGCCTCGCCGTGCTGGGCGCCGCCGTGAGCGGGGGAAAGGGCAGAGCCACCGCTGGGGTGAGCACGCTGGATGCTGCGGGGGAGGTGGCGGCGGGGGAGAAGGAAGAGGCGGAAGAGGCGGCGAAGGACTGGGAGGAAGAGGGGGAGGAGAAGGTTGACGGGGAGGTGGGAGTGGCGGGTATTTACACGGTGCTGCACTCGCTGGTGATTAAAGCCATAGCCCGGTTCTTCTCCGGCCGGGTCTTCATCCCCCTCTACACGTAAGCCTTATCTCTACGCGCTTCAAAAATGTCCTCTCTACACGTGCGTCTGCCGCTTCCCGCATACCGCTCCGTACGTGCTCCTCTGAAAAGTGTTTTTGAGAATCCTCTAAAGCACCCTGCAAAAGGTAGGGCAACTGCCGATCCCTTTTGCCCTCCAGCTCTCGCCTGCTGGATTCCCTTCATCCTCCCTCCCCTCGCCTTTCCCCTTCCCCCTTATTTCTTTCTCCCCTCCCTCCCGTCCCCCTCCCTTCCCCACCCCTCCCCTCCCCCCCCCCCTCCTCTTCAGTCTCCTCCCCACCCCTGAGAACCGCACCCTATGGGCGGTGGAGCAACGGTTCCGGCAGCTGTTTGGAGAGCTGATAGGGCGCAGGGCGGAGGCGGGCATGCAGGGGCGCATTGGGAAGGACATTTTGGCAGCGCTTCTGGGGGCGGAGATGAGGCAAGAGGAAGCGAGAAGAGCCGCTGATGCTGCTGCTGGTGGTGGTGCTGCTGCTGGTGGTACTGGTGCTGCTGGTGCTGGTGCTGGTGGTGGGGGTGTGTTGTCAGCTGCTGCAGTGAACAAGGTAGTGAACCAGTGCGCGACGCTCATCATGGCGGGCCACGAGTCAGTGGCGGTGCTGGTGATGTGGAGCATGTACCTGCTGGCACGCCACCCGCACTGGCAGGACAGGCTCCGGCGCGAGGTGCAGCAAGTGGTGGGGGTTGAGGAGAGGCGAGAATCAAAGGCAGAGAGCAGTGGTGCGGGAGAAGAGGACTTGAGGGAGGATGGCACGGAGAGCAGCAGTAGCAGCAGCACTAGTGGCAGCAGCAGTGAGGACGGCACGGGCAGTGAAAGTGAGAGCGAGAGCGACAGCAGCAGCTGCTGCAGCACCACTGACAACACAGACAGAGCGAGAGCACCAGACGCCAGAGCAGCAGAGATCACGCGGGAGCAGGCAGGGCGGCTGCAAGAGATGCACGCGGTGCCTTCTGAGTCGACTCAAGAGGCAGCAGAGATCACGTGGGAGCAGGCGGGGCGGCTGAGGGAGATGCACATGGTGCTGCTGGAGACGCTGCGACTCTTCCCGCCGGTTCCCGTGGTCACGCGCACGGCCAAGCAGGATGTGCAGATCGGCCAATACGCCATTCCCAAGGGCGTGGATCTATTCCTCCCGGTCGGGTGCTTGCACGCGGACGAGCGATATTGGGGCCCGGACGCGCGTGAATTTAAGCCCGAACGGTTTCAAGGTGAGTGCTTGCTCGTGCAGCAGCTGAGATCCCTGACTGGATGGAGCGGACAGAGTGTGGGGAAACACGTGGGAGTCAGGAGTCGCTAAGGTGGGGGCGGCTATTCCTGCATTATTCCAAGAAACCCAACTCCTGCCTTTCCTTCCTCTGCGCGTACTCTGTTTAGCCAATCCTTTCGCGTGCGCTGTTTGCCAATCCTAATAAACTCCTGCCTTTCCTTCCTCTGCGCATACTCTGTTTAGCCAATCCTTTCGCGTGCGCTGTTTGCCAATCCTAATAAAACATGATGCATCTCTCTTCTGCACCCAATCCCCCAGACGGTCAACAAGCAGCCTGCTCACACCCACAGGCGTTCATCCCCTTCTCCTCCGGGCCTCGAGACTGTGTCGGAGCCATGTTTGGCCTTACCGAGGCTAAGATAATTCTCTCCCACTTGCTGCTTGGAGTCGCCTGGAGTATCTCGCCTTCGTATCAGCATCAGCCAACAGCTGCTCTCACAGCCCAAGCAAAGCATGGCATGCCACTGCTGTTCAGGGAAGTTAGAATGTCAAGAGCTAGATGTGGGAGAGGTTTGAATGTGAAGAGCTAGATGTGAAAAGATGTTCCGGTATGTGAAGTATGGGCTGTTCTATGTACAAGTTTTTACAGCTCAGAGTGTTTTCCTGACAAGGCAAGTGAGGAGTGTTGAGAGCAGCTGGGAAATGCAACATCCATCAGAGAAACAGAAGCAAAAGGAGCGAGCGAGCACTGAGAGATTCGAACTCTCGCGGGCAGAGCCCATGTACTTAGCAGGCACACGCCTTAACCACTCGGCCAAATGCTCCTGTCACAGTTTAAAAATAATCAATTTTAAACAAATTCAAAAATTTGAAATTTCAAAGTAGCAGCCGTTCAAATTTGGGTTGCTCTGCACGCGCTTCCCAAGGTTCGCGCAGAGGAGAGTGGCAGGCGACACGAACACACTGCCCCCTCTCCCCTCTCTCTCTGTGGTGGCCTGGCCTGGGGCTTGCCATGCCATTTTCTGTGGTCGTCATTCCCAGTGCCAGCCATTGTATTGAAGTCTAGCAGAGTTAGTACTTCGCCTGTTGGCTGCTCGAGGAGATGAGGCAACGCAGCAATTAGGCCCGCGCAACAATCTACATAGTAATTCCTTGCCATTCCTTAGCAGTCGCTCGTAGCAGTTGTAGCACAACTCAAGGGGCACGTCCATTTTGGTATCTTGTCCGATTTGTTTACTAAGTCGCCATGGAAAGAGCAACTAGGTCGCGGAGAGGAGTAGACTCCGCTTCCGCCTCGCGCAAGAGCGCGCTTGCGGAGCTCGCCGCGCACCGCGCCAGCCGCCAGTCCGGCTCCGCTCCGGTCCCCGTCGCAGGCGGCGATGCCGGCGATCAGGGCGACCATGCTCTGCGACGCAAGCGACGGATCGACACGTTCGAGCTGAAAGAGGAGGACCGGCTGTACGACGTCGTCGACGAGTCGGAGTACCAGAAAATCGTTGCACAGCGTCGCGCGGCGGGCGAGAACTTCGTGGTGGACGACGACGGGCTGGGGTATGCGGACACGGGGCTGGAGGACGTGTGGGATCGACGCGAGGACGACGAGGACTCGTGGGACGAAGACGAGGAGGGAGGCCGACGGAAGAAGAAGGACAAGAAGCCCGCGGGTTAGTCTCCGTGCCAACTGTTTCGTTTCTGTTTCATCACGCGCCGTTTCGTTCTTAACTCTCCAACCGGCCGACAAGCTGATGTTGGTCTGCTCGTTTGCGTCGGCTCCGGACGCCACACAAAAAATTCCTTAGTCTCTATGATGCTTTCCGAGACTTCCCGTCCGGTCTCTCTATTCCTACTCGTTGCTCTCCCGAGCAGCCATGGATGAATATTCTCGTTGCTGTCTGTCCCCTCCGAGGGACTCCCTCGTTTCCACAGCCCCTCCCCTCTCATCGATTCCTCCTCCTCACCTCCGCCAGGACCCAGGTTGTTGAAGTCTCTCATGTTGTAGGTGATTTTTGAGAATTCTCGTTGCTGTTTGTCCCCTCCCTCGTTTCCTGAGCCCCTCTCATTGATTGATTCCTCCTCACCTCCGCCAGGACCCAGGCCGCGCCGGGAGGGCGTCGCCGCGCGCAAGGCGCTTTCCGCCGCCGCCGCGATGATGGGGAAGCGCCGCGGCGCGTCCAACATGTTCGCCGCCGCCGGCGCGCGTGCCGGCGGCCGGCAAGCGTCGCAGGCGCTGCCGGCCGGTGACGCGCAAGCGGCAGATTCGCTGCTGGAGGAGCTGATTAACGACATTGGCACCGATGCGCACGAACGGTTACCCGACAAGAGACGACGGAGAGGTGCGTGGTAGCGGTAGCGGTGCGAATGGTGCGGAGAGGGTGCGGTAGCGGTGCAAATGGGGTGGGTCGGTGTGGCTCTATGTTAATTTCCTTAGTGCGGTTTGGTTTAACGACTGCGACTGGTTTGACCTTGGTCGGGACTCGTCTCCCTGCCTTGGATGACGACTGCGACTGGTTTGACCTTAGCTCCCACCTCTTCCTTCCCGTTCCTTCTTCAATTAATTCGTCCTCCCCTCCCATTGGTCAGGTGGCGGCGTGGCTGTAACCGTTACACCCTCCGCGTGGCGTCCTCTCGCGCAGCACGCCAAGCCCCCCGCCTCCTACCCCGACGATTTCCACGACGCGCCGGTCGTCACGCCGTCAAACGAGCCGGCTGTTTCTGCCGGCCAACAACCGGCGCCGGCGCCGTTTTCTGACGACGCGCCGCTTCCCGAGATGCGGCCTCAAGAGCATGATCGCGTAGGGGTAAAAGGCGCTGCTCGTAGGGGGGTAGAGGCAGGTTCTGACTCTCCAAGTGCCGCTCCTGAACCCAGTGGAAACGTCCGAGGCACCGTAGGTGAAGCTGGTATGGCACGCGTTAGGCCAAAGACTGGAGAGAAGGATTTCAGTGGGGAGACGAAGTCGCCTGGAGCAGGGGCAGGGGCAGAGGCAGAGGCAGAGGCAGGGGCAGCTGAAGGAACTGCCGCTGAGAGCGCCGGGGCTGAGAAAGGGCAGTCCACCAAACCGGATTCCACCGAGGCAGGCCAGCCGCCGAAGCTGCACGCTAGGATCGGGGCGCTGGCTCAGGAGGAGAACGCATCTGCGGCGTGGCACGCTGTCAGCCGAGGCTCGTCAGCAGGTTTGGCAGACGAGAAGGCGGGCAGCCCTGGCAAGGTCGGCGGAGCAGCGGGAGAGGATAAGGGGTGGGGAGCAGCGGGGGGAGCGGCTGTAGCAGGGCAAACGGCTGTAGCGGGGAATGCGGCTGTAGCGGGGCCAGATGCGCCTGTGAATGTGGAGGGGCTTCCGCTGGATGCGGATGGGAAGCTTCCGTTCTTTTTCCTGGATGCGGTGGAGGAGTCGTTTGGCGCGCTTCAGGGCACTGTGTTCCTTTTTGGCAAGGTGAGAGAGCAGGGATTGGGGGAGGAGAAAGAGAGGGTTGGGGAGAGTACTGGATATGGCTGAGTTTTGAGGGGGTTGGGTGAGAAAAGGGGCATGGGGAAGAGTATCGGAGACGGATGCGGCGAGAGAGAGGTAGATGGTGTGAGGGAGGATGACTGGTACGCGAAGAAATGTGAGGTCTGATCGGCTTTGTGTTTGCTGCAAGGCATGCAGCAGTGTGTGTTCGCTGCGGCATTGCCTGTCTTCACAAGCACTGTTCCCCTTCCCGCCACCCACATTTTCCCCCCTACACAGGTCGCTGTCAAGCAAGCCACGAGCACGACCAACAGTCCCAGCCACCGTCCCTGCGTGGCCGTGCAGGGCATGCAGCGGTGCGTGTTCGCCGTGCCACTACCTGTCTTCACAAGCACTGTTCCCCTTCCCGCCATCAACATCCCCTACACAGGTCCCTGTCTAGCAAGCCACAAACACCAGCAGCAGTCCGAGCAAGGGCGGCAGTGAGGCGTTTGTGAGCTGCTGCGTGGCGGTGCAGGACATGCAGCGGTGCGTGTTCGGCTTGCCTCGGGAGGACCTCTTTCACATGCACCCCCACCCTGCTGCCCAATCTCCCCCCTCTCAGGTCCCTGTAAAGCACGCTGCCAGCATCAGCAGCCCCAGCAGTGGTCCGAGCAAAGGGGGCAGCGAGGCATATGTGAGCTGCTGCGTGGCGGTGCAGGGCATGCAGCGGTGCGTGTTCGCCGTGCCTCGGGAGGACCTCTTTCAAGACTCCGAGCTGGCAGTGCTGGAGGCAGCGGAGCAGCAGGCCAGGGAGGAGGAGAAGGCACAGGCTGGCGGGCACAAGGGCAAGGGCGGTGGGGGGAAGGGTGGTGGTGGCAGCAGCAGTGGTGGGGGGAAGGGTGAGGTGGAGTCGGAGAAGGTGAAGGCAGCGCGGCTCAAGAAGATGCGCAAACTCCATGTGAGAGGCTTGAGGAGGGTGCCTGGGGCGGGGACGTGGGAATGGGCGCTTGGGAATATGGGCTCCGGGGATGCGGTTCCTTGGGATGGGTTTCAGGGGATGGGGCTCAGGGGATGGGGCTTAGGGTGTCGAAGAATTTGAGAATCTTTTCATTTTCAGTAATTACCTGGATGGGGATATTGAACGCCATTGCCATATCCCTAGTCTTTCCCACTACCGCCCTCCCCGCCTCCTCATCTCTTGCATTTCCTCGTCCCCTCCATTCCCCACCTCCCCTCCCCCCCCCACCCCTCCCCCCCTCTGCCTCTCCTTCTTTTCCCTCAGGAGCTAGCCACGCCCCTGAAGGAGGAGATCCGCCAGCGACTCATGGAGCGACACGTGTCATCCTTCTGCATGATGCCGGTCAAGGTGCGTCTGCTGCTCAGTACCACACAGCTCTCATTGCCTCTCACACAGTTCAACTGCTTGTGCGTGCGCGTGCCCCTGTTTTGTTTTTGAGAATTTTCAGAAACAAACACATCCACCGCTCCTGCGCTCTACTCATCGAGTGCATGCTTGTGCGTGCGTGTGCCCCTGTGTGCGTGCGTCTGCGTGCGCCCCTGCCTCTTCCTGCCGCATGCAGCGCTCATACGCCTTTGAGCGAAAGGACATCCCTCGTGGGGAACAGTATGTGCTCAAGATCACCTACCCTTATAAGGTAGGTTGAACATACCTGCTTCTATAACGTACGTTAGAAAAAATCCATGCTTATGCTCAGGTCGCTTATTCTTCTGTGGTTCCAGCTACTGCCTGCTTAACCGTTGGGTTTCTTCAATTGAATGCCCATTGCAGGACGCCCCTCTGCCCTCACACCTGACAGGCGCGCACTTCACTGCTCTGATGGGCACTCACTCCAGGTGAGAGCAGCGTGCTGGGCTTCAATGCCTTGAACTCCTGAGAGCAGTTGTGCTACCTTCAAGCTTGGACCTGACAGGCGCGCTCTTCACTGCTCTGATGGGCACTCACTCCAGGTGAGAGCATCGTGCTGGGCTTCAATGCCTTGAACTCCTGAGAGCAGTTGTGCTACCTTCAAGCTTGGACCTGACAGGCGCGCTCTTCACTGCTCGGATGGGCACTCACTCCAGGTGAGAGTGGGGGGCTGCTGGACTTAACGGCTTGAAAACCTGACGAGAGCAGTTGGGCAAGCTTTCACACACTGACCGGACGGCCACTCACTTGGCTGTTCTGCGAAGGACGGAAGTGTGTGGTGTGCGTTCCCAGATCCTGTCACGCAAACAGTGTGCGTTCACAGACCCTGTCTGTGTGACTCTAGGAGACCTGCTGGGCTACTAGACTCACCGGCGACAGCAGGCCTCCTAGAGTCACACACACAGGGTCTGTGAACGCACACTGTTCGCGTGACAGGGTCCTGCCACGTGTAACGCCCAACCCCAAACCACCTATGTGCACGCACATGCAGCGCGTCGCACACACGAGCGTAAAACTTTCCCTGCCGTTGCCCCTCCTTCGCCTCCTTCGCCACCTTCGCCTCCTTCACCTGCCGTTGCCCCTCCTTTACCTGCCGTCCGTCAGTGCCCCATTGAACCCTCTTTTCTGTCCCGCTTCCCACCACCTCTAGTCCCACCCCACTCCTTGCCAGTGCACCAGGGCTGCTGCTGCTAAAGCGCCGCCTCAAGCACGTCGTAAGGAGCCACAGCACATCTTCTAAACCCCCGTGTGGCGTCGTCGTTCCCTGTGTATCTGTTCTCCCCCCAACCCTTCTGCCCCTCGCTGCCCTCCAGTGCGTTGGAGCTGTTGCTGCTGAAGCGCCGACTCAAGTGCCCCTGCTGGCTGACTGTCGACCGCCCCACTCGCATCCACCCCTCCTCCCAGGTCAGTGCGTGCTGCTAGTTTCTATCGTCGCGTGCTTCTTTCTATCCGATACATAGAACGAGTGACAGCACAGTCTAGTGCCGCATTATCGGATCGAAAGCAGTGCCCCAACAGAGGAGCCAACGCAAGGTGGAAGTAACAGTGCCGTCACCCAAGCTGGTGGCGCCAGCAGCACTAGACTGTGACCCTCACTTCCTGGTGCTGTCGTTTCCCCCCCCCTCCCACCACTCTCTATCCCTTCCCTGCCTTCCCCTCCCCCTTATGCCCCACCAGAGGACCCACTGCAAGGTGGAGCTGACAGTTCCCTCACCCAAGATGGTGGCTCCAGCAGCTGACCGTGACCCTTCCCCGCTAGTAGTGGCGTCTTCCCTTCCCTTCAGCGCACCGTCCATCCCCACCCTCCCACACTCCCCTTCCCCGCCCCTCTCCCGCCCCAACAGAGGAGCCACTGCAAGGTGGAGGTGACAGTGCCATCACCCAAGATGGTGGCGCCAGCAGCGGTTGACCGTGACCCTCCCCCTCTGGTCGTGGCGTCTCTGAGCGTCAAGACGGTGGTGAATCACGGCAAGAATGTCAACGAGATCGCCGCTGCTTCGGTGGTCTACTGCCGCAACGCCAAGGTCAGTTCGTATGCTATTCTGTGGTGAAGGGCGGTGCTGTGAGGTGCTGAGTGGTACTGAAGGGTGTAACTGTTGAGGGCAGTGTGGCATGTGAGTGAAAGTCAAGACGGTGGTGCCAACTGCCCTCAACAGGCAAGAATCAAGAATCATGAATCATGGCAAGGCAAGAACGTGAACGTGCTGCTTCCACGGTCTACTGCCGCCATGGAAAAGTGAGTGTTTGGCGTTCTGTCTGGTTCTGAGTGCTGCTGTGGTGTGCTGAGTGGTGAAATGGGAGGGGCGATATGGCATCCCTGAACGTCAAGACGGTGGTGAACCACGGCAAGAACGTGAACGAGATCGCTGCAGCTTCCGTTGTTTCTGCCACCATGCTAAGGCCACGGCGTGCAGATGGCACGGATTATCCTTGGGTCAGTAGTTTAGTTTCGAGACGTCTAAAAACTAGATGGCACGAACTATCTTCCTTTCATCATGCTCTTTCCCCATCCTGGCTTCCTGGCCACGTTCCCTCCCCCCTCCCCCCCAACGGTCAGATCGACCGACCAATGGCGCGCAGCGAGTGGAGTGGGGCGGCATCGCTCGGCCACTTCTCGGTGCTGAGGCGGCTGGAGGGGGTGATGTCCCCGGTGGGATTCGATTCTGCCATCGCTGCGGCCAATCAGAGGGCCGGGAGGGACGGGCCAGTGCTCAGCAAGAAGGGCAGGTGAGAAGAGTGGTATCCGTGGTTGAGCCAGCTTTAGTGGACGCCCAAGGTATTGTAAAAGCAGTCATTCCTGGAACTATTTGGTGCTGACGCTGCTGTGACCAAATAGAGGGCTGGGAGGGACGGGCCTGTGCTGTGCCGAGCAGGGAGGGCAGCTGAGAAGAGTGATATCCGTGGCTGTCTTGTCAAGCCAGCTTGAGAAGCGTACTTGCAGAGTGCAGAGTGCAGAGTGCAGAATGCGGAATGCGGAATGCGGAATGCGGAATGCAGAATGCAGAATGAAGAATGCAGTTCCTCTTTTCTCGCCTCTCAAAACTGGTAATTCTCCCACTTGCTGCCACCACACACCCCTCAGCGCCCGCAATTTCCCGTCTCCAAATGTGTGGTTTCCTGCCAATGGGTGATCCTCAGAACCCCACCTCCTTCCTTCCTCTCCCCCCCTCTCCCCCCTTCTCTCGTTGTGACTATAGCGAGAGGGAGCTGCTGAGCTATCTACTGGCACGCATGGGACGGTTGGATGCTGACGTCATCATAGGACACGGGCTGGCAGCATTCGATCTCACTGTGCTTCTGCAGCGCATGCAGGTGGGGCTCAGGTGGTATTTCAGGTGAGATTTAGGTGGGACCTCGGTACCACGAAAAGACCAGGTGAACGGGTGACAATGTAACGTGGTAAGTTGTTGTCCATCCCACACCCACACCCATCCTAACCCGTCCTCCAGGCCTGTCGCATTGGCAACTGGTCCGCCATCGGTCGGCTCAAGCGCACGCAGATGCCCAAGCTAGGGGGAGGGGGGGGCACCAGTTGGGGCGGCGGAGGGGCGGCGCCCGGACTGCTGTCGGCGGTGGCCGGGCGGCTGCTGATCGACACGAGCGTTTCGTCCCGGGAAATACTGCCGAAGGAAGTGAGCCACTCGCTGACGGCGCTGGCGGCAAGTCAACTGGGGCACACGAGGCGGGAGGTGGCTGCGGCCGAGGTGCCTGGGATGTATGGCAGCAGCGAGAGCCTGATGAAGCTGGTGAGTCTTGCAAGGAACAAAGCACGCATATGGATCGACAAACGAGGATCAGAACTGGGGTGCACGAGGCGGGAGATGGCTGCTGGTGAGGTGCCAGGAATGTATGGCAGCAGCGAGGGCCTGATGAAACTGGTAAGAGCTAAGGCACAGAGAAGGTCGCAATGTAACAAGATAGGAAAAGGCAATGAAACTGACGCACACGAGGAGTAGGTGGCTGCGGCTGAGGTGGCAGGGATGTGTATGGCAGCAGCAGATGATCACTGATGAAATGAAACTCGGTGATTTTCCAGCCAGCGCTTTTCTGTAATGGCTCTCTGATCAACTTCTGACTTGTAACTTTTTAATTCCTGTCTCTGGAGGAGCTAGTGGAGACAGACGCATTGCTGGCGTCTGTCAGCAAACCTGTCAGCAATGCGTCAGTCTCTACTAGCTCAAGTTCTAACCTGACAGACGCATGCCAGACGCGTGCGTGACAGGCTTGAACTTGCTCTTTGTAGAAACAGATGCATGGCTGGCGCTGACGCTCATGTTCCAGCTCTCAGTGCTGCCGCTCTTGCACTCTCTCCCCCTCTCCCTCTCCCCCCATCACCCTATCTCCCCCAATGCAGGTGGAGCTTGTGGAAACAGACGCGTGGTTGGCGCTGACGCTCATGTTCCAGCTCTCAGTGCTGCCGCTCTCTCGCCAGCTCACCAACCTCAGCGGCAACCTCTGGAACCGCACGCTGCAGGTGAGGGCTCTTTTCGTTCCGTAGGGACCTTAAACCGTGACTACTTTTTGTGAGGAATTGAACAAAACTTCACAAAAGACGTCTAGGGTCACGCAGTCCTACTTGCCGTTTTCAACCCTTAACCTGGCGATCTTAATGTTTCGCTCGTAATCTCGACTTTTCTTTTGCTGCCTGTCGTGAGGGATCTCAGGCCCAGCGAATCGAGTACCTCCTGCTGCACGAGTTCCACCGCCGGAAAACATGCTTCAGATATCCTTGTCTACCTCTTTTGTAGTAATGACCAACTTTCCGTTCTGTGTGCGTGCCGCCCTTCAGGGATCCCGGGCCCAGCGAATCGAGTACCTCCTGCTGCACGAGTTCCACCGCCGGAAATTCATGCTGCCCGACAAGCTGACCACAAAAGAAAAAGAAGCGGCAGTCTCATCCGCCGCCGCTGCTGGAATGGGCGGAGGAGCGGGCTCGGGCAAGAAGAAAAAACGCAAAGGAGCTGGAGGGGGTTCTGGGCAGAACCCAGGCAAGGCAGGAGGAGGAGGCGGAGGAGGAGGAGAGGATACCTTGGCCGAAGGGGGATTAGAAGGAGGGGGAGAGGAAGAGGATGGGGACGAGGGTGCTCTGGGTGGTGCTGAGGGGAGGGGAGGAGGGAAGGGAAAGACGGGCGGGGGAGGGGGAGGAGCGGATGGGAAGAAGAAGGGGCCTAGTTATGCGGGAGGGTTGGTGCTGGAGCCGAAGAGGGGGCTGTATGATAAGATCGTGCTGCTGCTGGACTTTAACAGCCTGTATCCTTCTATTATCCGAGAGTACAACATCTGCTTCACCACTGTTGCGTGTCCCGATGACGCTGCTTCGCTGCCCCAACTGCCTGATCCTGACCCCCCTGGGGTGCTGCCAGAGGTACGTGCCGCTTGGGTAGGAAAAGATTGGGCTAGTGCTGTTGGTGCTGGAGCCGAAGAGGGGGCTGTATGACAAGATGGTGCTGCTGCTGGGATCTTTTGTGTGTTTTGCGTGTGAGTTCGGTTGGCGGCAAGCAGGCCAGATGGCCCTGGTCAATGGGCCACACCCTGCAGAAGCATCGCAACTCAGTGCTAGGGGGCAGCAGATAGCTGTACTCCTCGTTTCGAATGCTGCGCTGCAACAACTTTGTGCATGGCATGGCATGGCATGGCATGGCATGGCATGGCATGGCACATGGCTGATTCTCCTGTCCGCTACGGTGCGGTGTGGTCTGGTGTGGTGGTGGCAGGTGCTGGGAATGTTGGTGCAGAGGCGGCGGCAGGTGAAGGATCTACTGAAGAGGGAGAACGACCCGGATGAGAGGCAGCGGCTGGACATCCGGCAACAGGCGCTCAAGCTCACCGCCAACAGGTACGGTCGGTGCTTACAACGTTTGGCTTCTTTTGAGGCGCCTCAAACGTGCTAGGGCGCTTGCTGCAGAGGCGGTTCAGGGGTGCACTTCAAAAGAAGAGAATCATCCCGATGGACGGCTTAGGCCGGACAGTCTCTAACATTCGCTCAAGCTCACTGCCAACAGTTGACACGTGGCATTTAGCTTCTTTCCCCAACAGGCTCCCCTGCTATGTTGGGGGAGCACACACTCTTCTGCTATTGCAAGTTGCAGTCCCACACTCGCTACCCTTCCCTGCCTTTCTAGTGCCTCTGCTCTCCCAAACCCCCATGCTCCGCTGTTTCCTCCTATCTCGCCGCAATGTAGCATTTATGGTTGCCTGGGGCTCTCCGAGTCACCACTCCTTCCCGTGAATATTCTGGTCTTTCAACTCCCCATGCCCCTCTCACCCCCCCTCCCTCTAACGACTGCAGCGTGTACGGCTGCCTGGGCTTCTCCAACTCCTCGCCCCCCCTTCCTCCGTCCCTTGAACCTAATATTCTGCTCTTTCAACTCCCCATGCTCCTCTCACCCCCCCTCCCTCGTGCGTGCAGCATGTACGGCTGCCTGGGCTTCTCCAACTCCCGCTTCTATGCAAAGCCGCTTGCCGAGCTCATCACCTCCAGGGTATGTGCCGCCACCCCTTCATCATCTGTCTTGCGTCGCTCAACACGGCCCAGTTCTTGTTTGCCTCACACGTGCTCAACACGTGCTCAACACGTGCTCAACATGTGCTGAACATGTGCTTAGGCTCCCACTCACTGAACTCGTTGCTCGTGACTTACAACATGCGCCCTCGCTTTCTCATCCCCCCCACCTCCCCCCTCTCTCCTTCCCCCTTCTCAGTCCCCCCCTTCGTCTGGGGGCACCGACCTCGACATGATCAACCCTCCATCAGCCTCTCGCTACCACCCGTTTCTCCCCTCCATGCGCTCCCTCCTCTGCAGGGTCGTGACATCCTCTAGAGCACGGTGACTTGGTCCAGAGCCACCTGAACCTGGAGGTGATCTACGGCGGCACCGACTCCATCATGCTCACCCCCACCTGCCCCCCCACCTGCCGTCCTTCAACCACCCGTCCTGCCGCCCCCCCCCTGCTGCCCACCCTGCAGGGCCGTGACATCCTCCAGAGCACAGTGGACCTGGTGCAGAACAATCTGAACCTGGAGGTGATCTACGGCGACACCGACTCCATCATGATCAACACCGGGCTGGACGACCCCGCCCAGGCCATCGCCATCGCACACCGCGTCAAGAAAGAGGTGCGCCTGAGATGCGCTTGGGGTGCGCTTGAGGTGCACGGGTGCTATAGAAACTCTTAGAATATGAGATGGAACGGCCTATTCTGCTGCGAGTTGGGGCCGGGGGAGCCTGCCAAAGTGCTACAGGTTGCAACACCCATTGGCTCCCTCCCCCTGCCTTCCCCACTTCTTCTCGGTGCACTTGCATGTCAGGTGAACAAGCGGTACAAGCTCCTAGAAATCGAGATGGACGGGTTGTTCCGCAGCATGCTGCTGCTCAACAAGAAGAAGTACGCCTCTGTCAAGCTCGAGCTGGGGCCGGGGGAGCCCCCCAAGGTGGTGCGCATAACCCTCGCCCCCCTCCCCTTGCCTTCCTTGTTCCCCACTCCCCACTGCCCACCCGCACACCAGGTGAACAAGCGCCACAAGCTCCTGGAGATTGAGATGGACGGGCTGTTCCGCAGCATGCTGCTGCTCAACAAGAAGTATGCCTCCGTCAACCTCGCGCTGGGGTTAGGCCACCCTGTCAATTATACACCCGTCGCCTCCTTTACTCCCCACTTGGCACTTGGATTCCAGGTGAACAAGCGGTACAAGCTCCTAGAAATCGAGATGGATGGTCTATTCCGCAGCATGCTGCTGCTGAACAAGAAGAAGTACGCCTCTGTCAAGCTCGAGCTGGGGCCGGGGGACCCGCCCAGGGTGGTGCGCGAGGTGACGGAGCACAAGGGGCTCGACATTGTCAGGCGCGACTGGAGTGTTCTCTCGAAAGAGATCGGGCATTATTGCCTGCAGCAGATTCTTTCCGGCCAGTGAGTGCCTGTGGTATGTGCTTTGAGGTGTCTCATGCCTGGTGAACCCCCAGGGTCGTGCAGGAGGTGTTGGAGCAGAAGGGGCTCGACATTGTGAGAAGGGACTGGAGCGTGCTGTTGAAAGAAATAGGCCACTTCTGCCTGCAGCAGATACTGTCCGGCAGGTGGGTGATTGAGGGTGTGCCGTGAATGAGATGTCTCAAATACCCCCAGCCCCCTAGGGTGGTGCGGGGGGTGGTGGAGCACAACGGGCTGGACATTGTACGGCGTGACGTTTGTTTTGTTGTAAGAGCCTGGCAACTTCTGCTTGTGTTTTGAGTCGACTCACCACCCAAAAGTGGTGCTCATTTTGTCAAAAGAGACTGGCAACTTCTGTTTGCTGGACAGATACTGTCTGGCCAGTATGTGAGGGTTCATGAGGTGTCTTGAACGGTCATGAGGTTTCATGAGGTGTCTTGAACGGTCACCCACTCAAGCGCGCTGAGGGAGGGAGGTGTCGGTGCTGTGTTCTCCCATCACTCCACTTGTCCCTTCCCCCTCACTCCCCTTCTCCCTTTCTCCTCACTCCCCTTCTCCCTTTCTCCTCACTCCCCTTCTCCCTTCCTCTCCTCTTCACATTGTGTGCAGGCCGAGGGAGGAGGTGGTGGAGGCGATTCACAACGAGCTGCGCAATGTGAGTCCTTCTGAGACAGCTGGCCATATCACATTAAAACCAGGGTCTAATGTTTCCGTAGGGTTCACACACGTGCGAATTTTGTGTGGCCCACAAGCTGCCAGATGCGAGAAGAGTTTGACGAGATTAGCGAGAGTTGACAAATTTGAGCATTTCGCACTTCGCAATCCAATCACATCGCGGAAGGGCTTTCATTTGCAAAACGATAGAAAAACCATAGACCCAGGTTTTAAGAATCCTATATATACACGCTTCCCTCAGCTGGCCAGCTGCAACAGTCATCTGTTTAGCTCTCAATTGCTCGGCACTCGCTTCCCTCAGACTCACTTCCGTAAGACCTACTTATTCCTATCTCTCCCCCCCCCCCCACACCCCTCACCCTCACCACCACCAGTTGGCAACCAAACTTCGAGCGGGCGAGGTGGACCTGTCATCGTTCGTGATCACCAAGACGCTCACAAAGCCGCCCACAGACTACCCCGACGCCAACTCGCAGGCGCACGTGCAGGTGGCGTTGAGGAGGAGGAAGGAGGGGCGCAGTGAAGGGTGCAACGCAGGGGACGCCATCCCCTATGTCATTGCCGTTCCCAGGGTATGTTCAAAGCGCTGACAGGTGCAGAGCGGTGCGGGTGGGTTCTATTTAGTGTGATGGTGGGTAGTAGCACGAGAGCAACCCAATGCGATCTCGCAGCTGCACGTGCAGGTGGCGTTCAGGCGGAGGAAGGGGGGGCGCAGTGAAGGGTGCAATGCAGGGGACGCCATCCCTTCCGTCATTGCATTGCCCAGAGTAGGTGCAGTGTGGTGACTGTCGGTTCAGTGCGGTGGTGGTAGGTTGAGTAAGGTACCCCGATGCAAGCTCGCAGCCACACATGCAGGCGGCTCGAATCTTGTGTGGGATAACCAAGGCTGCTTTTGAGTCGACTCAAAAGCAGATAACCAAGGCTGTTTATAACGTCTCTCGACCCCCCGAACCCCCCTCCTCTCCCCCTCCCCCTTTACCCCTCTCTCGCTGACACCTGCAGCAATCAGGTGGCGATGCGGCAGCACCTGGCAGCAGCAAGGGCGGCGGCATAGCGGAACGGGCGCGGCACGTGGACGAGCTGAGGAGCGCCGACAGTGAGTGGGACGTGGACCGGGAGTACTACCTGGCGCAGCAGATTCATCCAGTCGTATCTCGATTGTGTGCCCCTATTGAGGGCACCGATGCTGCCCGCCTAGCCGACTGCCTGGGGCTCGACTCGTCCAAGGTACGCCCTCCTGTGAATCTTCAGGCAGACATGCCAACGGACAGGGAGACAGCGAGTGGGATGGGACGTGGACCAGGAGTACTACCTGGCGCAGCAGATTCACCCAGTCGTGTCTCGATTGTGCGCCCCTATCGAAGGGACGGACGCCGCCAGGCTGGCAGTCTGCCTTGGGATTGACTCCTCCAAGGTAGGTGCTCTTTAGATGGACCATGCTCCAAGGTAGGTGCTCTTCAGACGGACCACACTCTGCCAGCCGGCGAGTGCAGGTTCTTGTTTTGCACACTCAAAACACCCTCTGAGAGCCCCTCCAGGGTTTCCGTTTTTGCGAATAACAAGGTTGAGAATTCAACAGGAAATTCCCGTAAGGTCACTGTGTGAAGACGTGCACGCATGCTACTCTTGCTGTTAAAACCGGTCTACCTACTCCCCACCCAACCCCCCTCCCCCCGCCTGATCTCCTCTTCCCTGCGAGCAGTACCGGCAAGTGGGTGTGATTTTTTTTTGGTGCCTTTCCGAATGCACATGCATCTTTCTTGTGTGCCCCCTCCCCCCCCCCACCCACCCTTCCCCCCTCCCGGTGCGCAGTATCGGCATGTGGGTGTCACGGCATCGACGGTGCGAGATGATGCCATGCTGGCAGCCACGTCCATTCTGGATGACGATGAACGGTGAGAGATGAAGTGTTTGGAATGCACGTCGCCATGCTTAGCTGCTGATTCCCCACTGCTCATACACATCGCCTTATACTATTTCCCTCCTCCCCTCATATCCTTCCCCACATTCCCCCGCCTCCCCCAGATACTCTCACTGCCAGCCCCTGCAGTTCCTCTGCCCTACGTGCCGCTTGCCCTTTGTTATCCCAGGCGTGCATGCCATCGCACATGGCAGAGAAAGAGAGAGGTGCTGGAGATACCAACCAGTCACCCCTTCCCCCTGTTTCCTTCTCCCCTCCCCCCTTCTCTCCCCCTCCCCCAGATACTCCCACTGCAAGCCCCTGCAGTTCCTCTGCCCAACGTGCCGCTTCCCGTTCGTCTTCCCAGGCGTGCATGCCATCGCACATGGCAGAGAGAACGAGGTGCTGGAGAGGGCTGGGCAGGGGGCAGGCGGAGGAGGGGGGGGAATTCGGACAGGAAACGCGGACAAGAGTGGGGAAGGGGAGAAGGGAAGCGGAGGGGAAGGGCAGGAGGCGGAGAGAGAGGAGTTGCTGCCGCTGGTGTGTCCGCGCTGCAAGGACGCCAAGCCGCTGTCGCCTGCCATGCTGGCCAATCAGGTGGGCTGATGAAGGGGAAGTGCAAGGGTCTCGGCGGCTTCTACTCTTATCAAAGCCCTAAGGTGGCTTGGCATCTTAATAACCCAGTAACCCAGTGCTTGTTCTGTGCGAAGTCTATTTTCGAGGCGCCTCAAAAATAGACTCCTCACGTAAGGTGGCTTGGCATCTTGATAACCCAGTGGTAACCCAGTGCTCGTTCTGTGGTGTTTCACCAGAGTAACCCAGTGCTCTTTTAATGTCTTACATTTGGTTCCGTGGGGTTACTTGCACTGGGTTGTTATATTGTGTTGCAGGTGAAGCGGCAGGCAGAGGCATTCATATTGCAGTACTACGACGCGTGGATGCAGGTAAGAATGTCGTAGAGCAGAGCTCTCGTAGAGCAGAGCTGTCGTAGAGCAGAGCTGTCGTAGAGCAGAGCTGTCGTAGAGCAGAGCTCTCGTAGAGAAGAGCTGTCGTAGAGCAGAGCTGTCGTAGAGCAGAGCTCTCGTAGGGCAGAGCTGTCGTAGAGCAGACCTCTCGTAGAGCAGACCTCCATTCCACCCCTCCCCGCGTCTCTCCAGTCCTCTCTCTGAAGTCTCCCGCTCTCTGACGCAGACCTAATGCACATGCACGCAGGCATTCAAAAACGAACACAACGCTTGTGCGCATGCTGTCCCAGCGAACAGGTGTGTGCACATACACACACCAAAACATACACTCCACCTTCTGTTGTATATCCCCTCCCCTCCCCCCCCCCCCCCCCCCCCACCCCGTGTGTGTAATGAGTCTATTTTTTAGTCGACACAAAAATAGAAAAATAGACTCATTACACACGGACCAAACACACACCAAAACGTACCCTCCACTCTCTGTTGTATATCCCCTCTCCCCCCCCCCCCCGGCCCCCCCCATCCCCTCTGTTCCCCCAAGCAGTGCGAGGAGGAGACGTGTGGGTGTGTGTCTCAGAACATGGCCGCCCGCATCGTGCACTCCGACAGCACCAGAGGGGCCCTCTGCCCCAACTACCCCCGCTGCCAAGGCACCATGCGGCGCAAGGTAGGCATTCCCACACACACACGCAAGGTATATCATCGTACACTCCCCCCGCAGCCCACCTGTATTCTGTCTACGACTTCCACACCCTTCGCCTTCATGTTTGTTTTGGGGGATTTTACTCTGGACAACCCACTTCTTCACCCTGCTTTCTTTACCCACTGCTTCACCCTGCTTCCTTTACCCACGTCTTTTCTCCAAAGTTAAGCCCTGCAGCCAGCTGGTCGCATCTATCTCCACTCCTGTTCATATCCCCTGCCTCTCCTGCCCTCCTCCCCTCTCCTCCCCCACCCCCCTCCCGCTCATTCACCCGAGGCTGACCTCTACCACGAGCTCAGCTATCTCTTCTCCTTCCTCACCCCCCACACCCACCTCTCCTCAGGTGATTTTTGAGTTGACTAAAAAATCTCCTTACCCCCCGACCCCACCTCTCCTCCCGACCTCTTTCCAACCTCCCCCCTCCCCCACCCACCCTACTCCTCTTGACCACCCCCCCCCCCCCCTCCAACCCAGATATCGAGGCTGACCTCTACCACCAGCTCTGCTGTCTCCTCTGACTCCATATCCCCCACCTCTCCTCTCAACACCCCCCCCTCTACCCACCCCTCCCCCCACATCCTACCCAGATATCCGAGGCCGAGCTCTACCACCAGCTCTGCTATCTCCGCCACTCGCTTGCAGTTACCCGGACCCTTGCCAAGGTACAACACTTGGGTGCGAGTTTTCGTGGAGACTTTTGAGTCTACGGCACATTTGGGTGGGAGTTCTCTTGGTAGTTGGATGCTTGTGCGAGCCTCTGGGTGCTTGAGATTTCTGTTCGTGTCTTGACTGATTCCGCATCTACCTCCCTCAACAGCTCCTATTTATCCCGGGTCCTCTCCCTTAGCTACCACCTCGAACCTCCACTCCTCCCCCCCCTGCTGTTGCACTCCCTCCCGCCTTGCCAGTTCTTTCCCCACTACCCCCATCTTCCCTCGTCGCCTTACTCACTATCTCTCTCCTCCAACCCCCCTTCAGCTAAGGGACCCCGCACAGCCAGCCGCAGCAGAGCGCCGGCTGCAGCCAATCAGGAGGGCGCTGGATGCGGCTCATGGGGTGGTGGAGTGGGCGGTATCAAGCACCCCACCTCTCACCCTCCCTGCTCTATTTCCCTTTTTTTGAGGCGCCTCAGAAATAGACTCCTCTTATCAGGCACCCCACCTCTCACCCTCCCTCTCCTCTGTTTCCCTCTTCCCTCGTCTCCCCATTTCCTCCCGCACGCTCGATTCCTCCCAAACCCGACCCCTCTTCAGCTAAGAGACCCGGCACAGACAGCAGCAGCGGAGCGCCGGCTGCAGCCAGTCAGGAGGGCGCTGGATGCTGCTCATGGGGTGGTGGAGCGGCTGTGTGACAGCTCAGCATACAAATGGGTCAAGATGGGTGACCTTTGTGCTACATAGTGCTCTAGTGTTACACATACAAATGGCATGTAGTGTGTGCTCGGTGTAAAAATGGGTCAAGATGGGTGACCTCTGTGTTACATAGTGCTAGTGTTTACACATTGCTTCTGGCATGTGTGCCCACTGCGCAGAGAACAGAAGTGTCAATGTTTAGTACCTACACCTGCTTTGCTTGTACCGATAAGCGTTCTAGTATGACAAATACAAAAGCCAAGTAGGGTAAACCAACATAATGAAGAATACACTAGATTATGAAAGCCTCAGAATGTCAACAGGTGCACTAATGTAGAGGATTGAAGGAATTACCAAACATGCAGATATCGCAGAGATTGGCAATGGCAACCATAACATAACCCATGAAGAACGGCCTCGGCTTGGCAGCACGAGCAGCACATTCCCATGCACCGCCCGCCATCTTTCCCTCACTCCTCACTCTTTGCTCCCACCTGTAACCTCAGTATCGTGAGCGGCACCACCTTGGGCCGCTCCGTATCACATACCGTATTCCCCCGGATAAACCACCCAGGGCCAGGGGAGTTAGTAAAAACCCATGCAAAATTTCGAGGGGGTATAATTAATGGCACATTTTGTATAATGCCCGGGGGCTATGGAATGACACTTTTATGTTTATGAAATGGAATTGAACTGTATTGTAGACAGTTCTTTTGTGCCAAATTTTGACGATTCTTGCACATGGTCGCTTATATGGTGAGGACTCAGGAGGACCATCGTGTCAAACATGTTTAGTTATCATGCTTGTATAGACTGTATAGGGTCATCTTCTAGAGAGTACAACAGTTAGGTATATGTTTGTGTACTCTCTCTCTCTATTCATCAATTTCACTGTTTGATATGGTATCACGCGTAGGTAGGATCCCCCCCCCCCCCCCCTCACGCTTCCGCTCGCCCCCTAGCTGGGCCCCGTCGTGCTCCTAGCCCCGTCGCGACCCTCCCTAGCCCCGTCGCGACCCTCCCTAGCCCCGTCGCGCCCCTTCCTGGGCCCCGTTGCGCCCCTTTCTGGGCCCCGTCGCGCTCCTCCCAGGGCTTCGTAGCGCCCCTCCAGGCCCCGTCGCGCCCCTTTCAGGGCTTCGTAGCGCCCCTCCAGGCCCCGTCGCGCCCCTTCCAGGGCCTGGTAGCGCCCCTCCAGGGCCCCGTCGCGCTCCTCCCAGGCCCCGTAGCGCCCCTCCTGGGCCCCATTGTGCTCCTTCCAGGCCCCGTCGCGCCCCTCCCTAGCCCAGTCGCGCTCCTCCCAGGCCCCGTAGCGCCCCTCCTGGGCCCCATTGCGCTCCCCCCAGGCCCCGTCGCGCCCCTACCTGGGCTTGGTAACGCCCCTCCAGGCCCCGTCGCGCCCCTACCCATCCCCGTCGCCCCTGCTCGGCCCCGTCGCCCCTGCTCGGCCCCGTCGCCCCTGCTCGGCCCCTGTCGCGGCTGCCCGGACCCTGTCGCACCTGCCCGGCCCCTGCTCGCCCGCCCGGCCCCGTCGCCCCTGCCCGGCCCTGCTGTGGCCTGCCCGGGCCCCGTCCCTGCCGCCCGGCCCCGTCGCCGCCGCCCGGCCCCGTCGCAGCCGCCCGGCCCCGTCGCAGCCGCCCGGCCACGTCGCAGCCGCCCGGCCACGTCGCAGCCGCCCGGCCCCGTCGCCCCTGCCCGGCCCTGCTGTGTCCGGCCCGGCCTCGTCCCTGCCGCCCGGCCCCGTCGCAGCCGCCCGGCCCCGTCGCAGCCGCCCGGCCACGTCGCAGCCGCCCGGCCTTGTCGCTGCCGCCCGGCCCCGTCGCCGCCGCCCGGCCCCGTCGCCGCCGCCCGGCCTTGTCGTGCCTGCCCGGCCCCGACGCACCTGCCCCGGCCCTCCATACTTCCTGGTACTGTCCCCCGTTCCCCGCACCACTTTGCACCCTCCTGCACTTTCCTGCCCCGCCTTGCATCGCATTGCACCTCACTGGATCGCACTGACCGCACTGCACCGCACTGGACCGCACTGCATCGCACTGCACCGCACTGGACCGCACTGCACCGCACTGCATCGCACTGCACCGCACTGCACTGTCCTCCACTGCCCCTCATGGCTGCTGAGCTTCGTTTTGATGTTGAGGGTCAGCCTCTGGAGTTCGAGGCGTGGTTGGCTGACCTTCGCCGCCACCTCACTGGCCAGCGGCAGGACGGCCACCCGCTTTCTGCACACCTAGACGGTATGCTCCCCTGCCCTGACCCCCCTGCTGTGCTGCCCGCTGATCCCACGCCCGCTGAGCGCGAGTCCACTGCCGCTGCTGCCCTTGCCCGCTCTGTCTGGCTTTCCCGCGATGCCCTTGCTCAGCTCGCCATTAGCAATGCCCTCCCCCCCACTGAGCGCCCTCGCTTTAGAACCATTCCTACCGCCCAGGCCTACCTCGATGCTGTCATCAAGCGCTATTCTACCCCTCCTGCTGCCTCAGTGGGTCGCCTGATCCTTCCCCCGCTCTTTCCTGACCTGGCGTCTTTCCCCACTGTCTCTGACCTCGCTGCCCACCTGCGCTCGATAGATGAGGCCTGGCGCGCTGCCTGCACTGATGCTCAGCTTAGAGTCCACCAGCCTCCCATGACCTCTACCCTCTACCTCCTTGCCACCCGCCTACCTGACCGCCTTGCCGCTGCCCGCGACCAGTTCCTTAGCATCCACCCTGCTGCTCTCACCCTCACCGACTTTGTTGACACCCTGACTGCCATAGAGACTCGTCACCGCTCCATAGCCCTGGCGAGCGGTACAGTACCGGTCCCTATCTTTCAGGGTTGTGCCCCCGCTCAGTGTACCTTCTCCGACGGCTCTGTCGCTGTGGCTGAGACTGCTGCTGCAGTGCAGTCCCGCTCGGCGAAGGGCCGCCGCCCCAAGGTTGGGAGCGGCGGAGGCGGCGGGGGTGCGGGTGGGGGTAGTGGTGGAGGCGGGTCGTCCGGTGCCGGTGCGGACGTGGGGACCCTGCCCGGTCCAGCTGCCCCGCTGCCTTCACAGTTGCAGCAGCCGCAGCAGCAGCAGTCGCCGCAGCCGCAGCCTTCGCAGCAGCCGCAGCAGCCGCCGCAGACGAGGCAGGCGAGTACTCTCCCACCTGGGTGGCCTGGAGCTGGTGGTGGTCGTGCGCGTGGTGGTGCACCGGGTGGTGGTTCTGGAGGCGGGCCCTGTCAGTACCAGATCCAGACCGGTCCTCGCCGCGGCTTCGTTTGCGGTAAGATCGGTCATTCTACTCCTCGCTGTTTTCGTCGCCTGGACGACCTGTTCCGCCAGCGCTTTGGCCCGGCGCCCGACCTCCCGGACTGGCACAGCTTGCTTAGGCGTAGCATTAGGATTTTTGACTTGGACATGGATGCCATTGTCGCGGCCTTGCATGTGATGTATGCTGATGACTCTAGTGTGCTTCCCTCTTATTACCCCGTGTTGCCTAGTGTAGCGGTGCCTAGCGTAGACTCCCCTGCTGCGTCAGGCGTAGGATCTCCTGCTTTGCTTAGCCTTGGTGCTTCCACCGCTTCACTGCCGCCTCGCGCGACTGCTGCGCTTTCCTTCACCTTGGACTCTGGCGCCTCCCGGTGTTTCTTCCGCGACTCCACGACGCTGACGCCGCTGCCTGTTCCCGCTGCAGTTACTCTTGCTGACCCCTCCGGTGGTCCCGTCGTTGCCCGCAGTTCCACCTCCCTTCCCTGTCCGGCGGTTCCTTCGGGCACTCTCACAGGTCTGCATATCCCCTCGTTCTCCAGGAACCTAGTTGGTGTCGGCTGCCTCCAGGACCTTGGCGTCACCACTACGTTCCCTGGTCACGAGCGGTATGCTGTCTGTACCGAGGCCGCCACTGGTGCCCCCCTTACCACTTTCCCCCGGGACCCGGTGTCCGGCCTGTTCACACTTGACACCGCGCCGTCCCCGGCTGGGTCTTCCCCCCCGGTAGCTGCGTCCACCCAGGTTGCAGCCGCGTGCTCCTGTCGGTCCCTCACTCACCCGACTCTCCTTTGGCACCACCGCCTTGGTCACCCTGCACTCCCACGTCTGCGTCACATGTCCCAGCACGGTCTCGTCCTTGGTCTCCCCGGTTCGTTCCCCGAGTTTCCCTCCTCCCCCGCCCCACCGTGCACGCCTTGTGTCGAGGGCCGGCTCCGCCGTGCCCCTCACTCCTCCTCTTTTCCCCCTACCACCGCACCACTGCAGACTCTGCACATGGACGTCTGGGGCCCAGCCCCGGTCCATGGGCCGCGTCGCGAGCGCTTCTTCCTAGTGCTTGTCGACGACTTCACGCGCTACACCACCGTCTTCCCCCTGGAGCGGAAGGCCGACGTGCCTGACGTTCTCATCCCCTGGCTTGTCTCTGCTCGTGTCCACCGCGGTCTCCCTGCCTTGCGCCTTCACTCCGACCGGGGTGGCGAGTTTGCCTCAGGTGTCCTTGGTCGCTTCTGTCGTGCGGAGGGCATCACCCAGACGTTTACCCTGCCGGACTCCCCGCAGCAGAATGGGGTCGCTGAGCGACGCATCGGTTTGGTCATGGAGGTGGCTCGCACCTCCATGATCCACGCCGGTGCACCCCATTTTCTGTGGCCGTTCGCCGTGCGCTACGCCGCTCACCAGCTTAACCTGTGGCCGCACCCCCAGCGGCCGCAGGTTTCGCCGACCCTTCTGTGGACCGGGTCCCCTGGTGACGCGTCTGCGTTCCGCGTCTGGGGCTGCCTTGCTCACGTTCGTGCCTCTGGCACGGACAAGCTCACTGCCCGCACCCTCCCCTGCGTCTTCCTCGGTTTCCCCCTTGACGCGTCCGACTGGCACTTCTACCACCCGCCGTCTCACCGCTTCTTTCACTCTCGCGACGTCACCTTTGACGAGTCCGTCTCCTTCTACCGCCGCTTTCCCCACCGTGGTCCCCCGGTTACTCCCCCCCTTTTCCTGGTTCCTCCCTCCCTGGTGGTCCCTGCCCCTCCCCCCCCCCGCCCCCCCGTCCGGCCCCCTCTGGTGTGTCTCACGTCACCCCCCTCCCGTCGGTCGTCCCGGTCGACGAGTCTTCTGACTCTGGTAGTCCTCCGGTGCAGTCCTCGCCGTCTGTCCCTCCCCCGGTGTCTCCTCCTCCACCGCCTCCGCAGCCGCCGTCGCCGCAGCTGCTGCAGCCGTCGTCTCCACCGCCGCCGCCGTTGCAGCCGTCGTCTCCGCCGCCGCCGCCGTCGCAGCCGTCGCTGCAGACGCCGCCGCCGCCGCCGCCGTCGTCGCTGCCGCCGTTTGTGGAC